CACAAAATCTCCACAGCTATTGTTTTAAAATTACTGCCTCGAATCAGGTACAGTAATACACAGCTCCCTAGTTATGAATCCGAATTTTATTTTAAGCTTTTTTACCAATATTTCTGGAGAAGACACTCAAGATGCTAGGTTTTTTGTCAAGGGCACGCTTATGGCCATTTTTTCCTTTTCCCCTTTTTTTTCTTCAGTCTTAGGAATTAGTGATGAGCTAGACAGTCCCTAAAGGATTTGCAAGCTCTTTGATATAAGGGAAATGGATGGAACCTGAACTGCCTCTAGAGCTGCTTTTCCAGCCTTACAAGGATTTTCTAAGGACAGTTGCTCTTGATTTCTCAGAAACTGGGTTGTGACTCAAATGACATTATAGGTTGACCTACCTTTCCAACTACATCATAAAGGCACAGAGAACCCATCAGGTTTTCTCCGAGATGGAGTTTCTGGGGCATAACTCATCCAAGTGAAAGTGCTTCCAATTAGTTAGACTGCAGCCGAGGGGTGAGTCTCCCGGGATGCATGGGATGTTCCCCATGGTGGTAAAGCCGGTGTCTGACTGACAGTGGGCCAGAGAAGGGTGCAGAGCCTGACTGCAGGCATTGACATAGTTAGAAGATTTATTCAAGTCTCACTCAGCCTGGGCACTTAGTCCCTGAGCCAGCACAAGGTGAGCCAGGGAAGCAGGAGGCAAAGGCCTGGAGCTGGCTGGGGGCTGGGGCTCCTAGTGCCAGGATTGAGAGTTAAGTCTCTGGCAAAAGAATATCAAGTTTTCAATTTTACAGATGGTCCAGGTTCTGCTCAGGTCCAGCCTGAACTTAACCTCGACTTGGTGACAACAGAGGAGGTGACAAACGAAACAGACAAAGAAAGGAAAAGAAGAGATCAGGAGATCGGGCCTCACCCTCACAGCCTCTTGCCAAGAGTTATCAAGATAAGGGTCACATGACAGTTCCTGTGCCAGGGCACACAACCCTAGTAGGACAGTTCACAGAATGAATCACAGGTCTCCTATCCTCATAACTGACTCTGTAGGCACCTAAAATACTCAACAAATCAACCACCAAGAGAGGGCACCCCACTTGGGGTTGCTGGGGTGATCAGGTCTGGAAACCAGAAGGGGTGACCTCCCAGGGATGGAGTCTTTGACTCTAAAGATTTCTTTGTTTCTCAATTGCAAAGCTCAAAAGGAGACCAAAATGGCCACTGTAACTTTAAGAGAGATGAAAGAAAGGGGTCCATTACCCTGAAATCCCCCTGAACCTAGGGCAGCATCCTACCTGTTGTTCCTCCTGTGGGGTTCCTACAGCAAGGGGTAATGGGGGCGTCCCCCGGCATTGCATCCCGTGTGTATCTTCCCTGTTATGCCTGGCAGTAATAGGTGCCTGGTGAATGATCCCAGAGATAAAAAGAATAGAGAAAAACAGTGAAGAATTTTCTGCTGGTCTGGGGGACATTCTACCCAATTGCGTCCTGGAGCCATTCTCCCCAAAAAGGATTCCCATACTCAACCAAAGGTTAGAGTTTGGTACTTTCCTTGAACCAGAGTCCCAGTTGGTACTTGCCCATGGTTTGGAGTTTGGTCAGGAGCCATAGGGAGGGATCCCAATCCAGCCTTAGGAAAAGAAACCTGCCACGGGAGTCTTGGAGATTGGCGAGCGTCCTAATGACTTAAGTGGTTGACCTTGTGCCCATGTAAGATTTATGTATTAGAGATAGGATTAGGAAGGAATGGATTAATTCATTCTTCATCACCCTCAGGCTTAAGGTACTGATTCTCTTCAAGCTGAATGCTATGATTTGCCCCGTAGAGTAGCCATGGGCAGCAAACGTGGATTCATACAGCTGTCTGAGAAGGTTCCCAATGAATACGTGAATTTAGAACCATCTTTGAAAAAGAGGAAGGCACAAAGAAGAAGAGTGCACTTACCAGAACTTAAGCTCATAAGCTGGTGAAGCAAGATCCCTGTACGGGCCACCAGAAGAAATGATGCGGGCTCGGCGAGCCGAGGAGTTGAAAGAAAGATTTCTTGGACTCTCAAGGTCTAGGAGCAGGGCTCCTTTATTCAGAGTATTCTCTGGATAGTCCATGCTAGCATGGAGTAGCATGGGGACAGGACCCATGGGCAGTGAAGAGCTGCAATGAGTTGAGGGTAAGGCTAAATTTATAAGGCATAAGTATGTGAGTTATTTCCTTACAAGACAAAGGAAAGATTATGTTAAAAATGTCATTAAAATGGTGTCAGTGCAGGTGGGGTCTGGTTAGTGGGTGGTCCTATAACTTTGGATACAATCAGGTCGAATCAGGTCAGGACGTCCCATACTTCCCAGAGGATGATATAGCTCGGTATGTAGGGCAGGATGCCTGGGGCTTCTCTCCCCGGGGCAGCCTTTATCCTCATCACCGCTCATCAGGCCGTACTGAGGCTGCGTCCCACATAGCAGAGCTAGAAGGACTTACGACTAGAATATACGACTGCGTACTGAGGCTGCGTCCCACATAGCAGAGCTAGAAGGACTTACGACTAGAATATACGACTGCGTACTGAGGCTGCGTCCCACATAGCAGAGCTAGAAGGACTTACGACTAGAATATACGACTGCGTACTGAGGCTGCGTCCCACATAGCAGAGCTAGAAGGACTTACGACTAGAATATACGACTGCGTACTGAGGCTGCGTCCCACATAGCAGAGCTAGAAGGACTTACGACTAGAATATACGACTGCGTACTGAGGCTGCGTCCCACATAGCAGAGCTAGAAGGACTTACGACTAGAATATACGACTGCGTACTGAGGCTGCGTCCCACATAGCAGAGCTAGAAGGACTTACGACTAGAATATACGACTGCGTACTGAGGCTGCGTCCCACATAGCAGAGCTAGAAGGACTTACGACTAGAATATACGACTGTGTACTGGGGGGCTTTGGAGAGAAGAAGAAAGGAAAAGAAGAAAGAAGACTGGCAACAGATGTTAGCTCAGGTGCCAAGCTTTAAAAAAAAAGATAATTTTACTTTCCTCTATGTGTGGTGAATTCCCTTTTTCCATATTTTGTACATTTGTGCTTTCTCCTCTTTTTCTTATTTAATTAACAGCTCACCTATTTATTTTCAAAGAATCATCTCTTGGACTTATTTTTTTAATTCTATATTTTTCTATCTTATACAGCATCATTTTGGGCTTTTATCTTTATTAATTACATCCTTCTGCTTCTTGAAGATTTATTTTGTTCTATTTCTAACTTCTTGCATAGATGCTTTATTTAGTTTATTCTAACTTTTTAATTAATGTAATCATCTAAAAGTACGAATTTTCTCTTAGTACTATTTTAGCTAAATCCTATGGCTTCTGATATGCCATTTTCATACTTTTCTAAGTATTATCTATTTGTTTTTATTTTCCTTTTTGGTCTAAATGTTGTCTAAATAGTTAAAAATTTCCAAGGGGTAGGAATGTTTTATTTTCTGTTTTATCACTAATTTCTAGATTTATTGAATTGTGATCAGATAATATTCTCCATATGGTTCCACTTATTGGAATATTTTAAGATTTTTCTCTGTGGCCTAAAATATGGCCAATTGTTGTGAATGTTCCAAGGATACTTGAAAAGATATAATCTCTGTTTCAGGGTACAGAGTTTGCTATATTAGATCTACCATATTAATTAGATTTTTAGGTCTTCTCTATCCTCACTTACCTCTTGTGCCCTTAATCTGGCAAAGACTATACCAATTATTTCTGTCTATTCATTCTCTCTATATCTCTGTTTGCTATGAATAATGAAATTATGTTATTCAGTGCATAGATATTCCTATTTTAGTTTTCATTGTAAATTGTAACTCTTGTAAAATGTTGTTCTTAATCTCATTTACTTTTGCTCTGAAATCAACCCTGTGTAATAGTAAGTTTGTGATCTGTGATTTCATTATGTTTCCATATTCCTGGCACATCTTTTCTATTCTTGTATTTTCAAACTATCAGAATGCCTCTACTTTATACATCTTCTCATATGCAACCTAAGGGTTGTGTTACAGTTTGTGTTCCAGTCTGAAGTCGTACTTTTTGGAATAGGTAAATTTTGCTCATATACGTTTATTCATGTAAAATGTTTGGTCTTAGTTCTGTCATATTGTTTTGTTAGACGTTTTGTCTTGTAACTTTTTCAAATATTTCACTATGTGGTTTTGTTTAATTTGTTGTAGTTGTGTGTATGTGTTTTGATAATTTGAAAGGTGTATACTTTTGTTCTGGGTTGCCATAATAATTATAACATTACATGATGTCCTAATCATCTATTTCTTTAGATTTTCTACTGTATTTCTTTCTTTTCTCCTTTAACTCCCTTTTCTTAATCACCAGGTTTTAGTTGATTTTATTCTTTCTTGGCATGCTCCTTTGCACTAACATATATACTTAAATCTCTACTATTTGCTTTATTAGCTTGAAATACTTTTACCCCCAATCACAGTCGTGAGAATCATATTGACAAGAAATCCCATTTTCTCTTTTCCTCCCCACTTTTGTTATATAATTTCTAAATTGTGAGGCTATTTAGGTTCTTTTTTATAACCCTAAACTCCATGCCTGCTGTTTCTCTAGTCGTGCACCTAATTCAAAGCCTGTTGCCAATTCTTGCGCAGCAGTTTCCCGTTTTTTCAGCTTCGTGCATAGAGATGAATGGTTTTGAATGAATGAGAGGGCACGGTTAGGAGGGTTTCTCACCCTCTCCTATTAGAATGCAGTTGGCTCCCAAGACGATCTTCGCAGCCTTGGACCGTTTCTCGTCCTCACCATCTGGGATCACTGCCAGGCTCTCCTGAGAGTCTGAAATTTCAGAAATTGGCGCCACCGCGACCCCTCTTGGCGGCGGCGAAGGATGCCCGCGGAGGGGAGGTGCAGTGCGGTCCTCCGGCCGGAAGGGGGCGCGGCGGCGAGGCGCCCGCGGCGCAGGCACAGGCGCGCCTCTCTTCCGGCCGCACGCGCTCCCTGACCCCGCGCTGCGCGCGCCCTGCGGACTCGGCGTAGGAGTTGGCGCCGGCTGCGGTCCGGCCGTCGCGGGTCACGCCGAGGGCGCCCAGCCTGGCCTCTCCGCGGCGCCTCGGCCCCGGTGCGCCGCCGCGGCCCATGGGGAGAGTCGGCCGGGCGGGCCGGGTAAGTGCGCCGGGGCGGGCGCGCGTCCCCGGGCGGCGCTGGACGCGAGGCCTCGGGTGTAGGCCGCGCCGCCAGGGGGGGCAGGAGGGGCCGAGTCGGGCCCCCAGCCGCTGGCGCCCTGGGCCTCCAGGCGGGCCCCGGGCTCGGGCGACCCTTCGCGTCCCCCGCCGCTCTCCTTTATTTGCCTCGGGTCACCAGGCCCTCGATCTCTCCCCCTCTCGGCTGTCTGTTTCCGTCCCTTTCGGACCCGAGGACGTTTCTCCTCCTTTCCGTTGGTCCTCTTTTGAGGAAGTTGCTCAGTCCCTAGATCCGGGTAGCCATCCTGTGTCACCTGTGGCCCAGCACGTCTCACCCCGCCCGGGGCCGGGCAGCGGGCAGGGAGGAAACCGCTTCCTTCCCGCGCCACAGGACGGGGACTCCAGAGGTTGACAGCTCTTCGAGCCCGGGGTTTACGTGAACAGGTGAAGGAGGGTACGACTCCGGCGTCCCCTCCGTCCTTGTCCTCCTAAAGCGAGGTTTTAGCTCTAATATTCCATCATCGAGCATTTTTGGGGCATCTCCTCTTGCCCAGACCATATGGTATGAACAGCGGTTGCAGGATAAATAAGATTTCGTACTCTCAGAGTTTGGTCTCTAGGGACACAGGCGTAAAAACCCCTGCCTGGGCTGACCCGAGGGGCTCGAGTGGAGTCTGGAAAGGCTTCCAAGACGGGGTGATGCTTATAACTGAGTCTCGGAGGTGTTTTGTTAAATGTGCAGGATGGCAAAGAGGTTCCCTGTGGAGAAAATAAGGTGGCAGAGGTGAAGCACTGTGGTGCATTCTGGAAGCCGCAGGTAAGGCAGAGAGAGGTTTGGGGACGGGCACTCAGGTCAGATCTAGAAGGTTGATTGGGAAGTTAGTAAAGGAGAGCCCTTGCAGGTACTTACTGGTAGAGCCAGGCGTATGGGTGCAAAACAGGATGTTCTGGGTAAGGGCAAAATTCTGCAGAGACTCAGGTGGATGAAGACTGCCTCCCGCCAACAGTTGGTGGAGTTTTTAAAGAATGCAACTCAGTTTCAACATTTTTACGGTATAAAGGCTGCAGACATTTTGACTATAATAAGGATATTTAGGGAATATGGGGTAGTATATTAGTAACTTAAACCGAGGGTGTTTTATTTTTAGCATTTTATTAAGAAATGTGCTACATGCTGTGCAGTTTAGGATAGAGAGAGTGGGTTGTGAGAGACAGAAGTATAACAGGGTGTAACAGAAGTGTTAGCACTGAAGAGCTGTTCTGACTGTGGAGTTCTGTAATAACTAGAGAGAGCCTTTATGGAAAATAAGAATTTGGGGAGAATTGTTGTCTGTTCCCAAATGTTACTTGATAAAGTGGGTTTCTTTTTACTTGGTTTGTTGTAAATTACCTTCTGGGAGCGGTTGATCCAGCGCTGGTAATCTCTGCCGTCTTTCGTAGTAGTGAGCCGTGAAGGACGTTCTGTTATTCCCCGAGATTACAGGTGACTCCCGTGGACTTTGCAATACACTCCAGCCTAGGGTATTTTGGTAATAATAGAGTCTACGAGAATGGATGGAAGTACTAAACTATGCCAGAGGTGGAATTTTAGGCAAAATTTTTTTCAGATCTTTAAAAAGTCTTTACAAATCTTATACATGAGGTAGATGCCTTTTCTTCCCTGTTTATTGGTAGACAGCAACATGCACCGCCCCTGGTGATTCCTTTCCTGCTCCTTTCTGTCTGCATGTACTTCCCGTATTCCTTAGGCTTCGTTTTCACTTTTGCTACATGAACTATCTGTTTGGTCATAAAAAGGTCTCCTCTTACCAAGGCTGCCTGTTTAGGTGCTCAGAACTCAAACCTTGACTCATTGTTAGTTGTGCAGTGGTAGTAGTTTTTCTCCCGTTTATTATGGTAGATAATTTAATATTTACTATTTTTTTTTTTTAGATTTTATTTTTCCTTTTTCTCCCAAAGCCCCTAGTACATAGTTGTGTGTTTTTAGTTGTGGGTCCTTCTAGTTGTGGCATGGGGGACGCCGCCTCAGTGTGGCCTGATGAGCGGTGCCATGTCTGTGACCAGGATTTGAACCAGCAAAACCCTGGGCCACCGCACAGCAGTGCGCAAACTTAACCACTCGGCCACAGGGCTGGCTCCTAATATTTACCATTCTTATATCACATCCCACTTACCGTAACTTTTGTCCTTAAAGGCAAATCTGCATATCTTATTGTTTCATAATGCGATTTAAGTGGGTGCATTAACATTTCCATCCGCTCACTGATATGTTTAGAAAATATAGGGGCCGGCTCTGTGGCCCAGTGGTTAAGTTCGCACGCTCTGCTGCAGCGGCCCAGGGTTTGGATCCTGGGCACGGATATGGCACCGCTCGGCAGGCCACGTTGAGGCGGCGTCCCACATCCCACAACTAGAAGGACCGGCAACTAAGATATACAACGGTGTACAGGGGGCGTTTGGGGAGATAAAGCAGAAAAAAAAAAAAAAGATTGGCAACAGTTGTTAGCCCAGGTGCCAGTCCTTAAAAAAGAAAAAAAAAAGAAAATATAAAGTGCGTACACTGTTCCAAGAATGATGCTAAGCTAGAGATACAAGGATGAAGACAAAAACAGCCCTTACCTTTGGGGGCTTAGGAAGTAGTAAGACAGTCGTGTCAGCCATGGGCAGCAGGGCGTGGAGGCAGCATAACATGTGAACATTGCTGTGGTCTCAGCATGTTCAGGGGAGACAAATTGGGGATAGTGTTTTTGTGGGGTAATAGCTGCCAAAGGCTTCAGAGATGCCCTTTAAGGATGAGTAGGTGGGCGCTTCTGCGAAGACTTCTGTGTTCTTTGTCTGCCAGTTGCACGTGTTTAAAAAATACTTCGCCAGCTTAGGTAGAGTCTTGAAAAGTCATCATTCTTCTGGCAGAACCATGTTTTCTGTGTTTCTTCTTAAGAAAAAAAAAAAAGTATAAAAAAGAAGTAAATAGCAGGTTATTTTAAAGAAGTTATAAAAACCAGCTGTTTGTATTTGCATTCGATCCTGGCTTCTTAAGGTGTATCCAAATGTTAGAAAGCACTGCTTTTTATTACTTGGCACCATGCTTCATGAAATAAAGGTGTTATATCATCTAAGTACCGTTTCGGCATTAATTAAGTTAAGCTCAGGTCCAGGGAGAGTCTTGTCAATGCAGTTGTTAGATTTCAGTGGTTGCAGTGGGGAGAATGAATGAATCAACTATGGTATATTTATGAGTGATTAAAACGGCTAAAAAATATATACACATCCTTTAAGGAATAGATGGAATAAAGCTATGTAAATGAAGTTACGAGGAAGGAGGAAAGCTAGGAATTAATGAGAGTGGGATTCAGTTTGCTTCGCACCCCTGGGTGGGGGAAATCACTTGAATGGGATGGGGGGCCGTGTGGGTTGAGTGTGGTTTCTTGTCCTGGCTGCTGTTTGGCGAATTTGCTGGCGCTTGTCACATTGTAGTAAATAATTAAAAGCAGGCCATGCATGCGTGGATGGATAACAAGTATGTTGTTGCTGTGATTAATCCAGTTCTGTGAATCTGAAGTTCAGTGAAAATGAGAAAGGCAAAGAAAGCTATTCTACATTTACTGTGATGCAGAGATCTGATTTATAAGTTCTGGTTACAGAAAAAACTAGCAGATGCTGATAAGGTGACATTAGTTTTTAATATTTAGTTTTTGAAGGTTTTTGAGAACAGAAACAGGAAATTTAAATGAACATAAGGTCTTGCTGCATAATGATTTCCGAAGCTTGCAGAGTGAACTTAATCAAATGGAATTGTCAACATGCCATCTTCAATCTAGAAATGAAATGGAATCAGAGCAAGTATGATCTTGTGAAACCTCGTTAGCTCAGCGCTGATGTCCTTGTTAAATATTGGATTCTTAGGTGGAAGAACTCTGTTGGAGGCAGAGATCCTCTACACTGCTTAATATTTTTGGCCCTGAAATTCGGGGAAATCTTTCTATCAGTTTACTCTTCTGGGTAGGGAGAGCTGCCAGTGTTCATTAAACAGCAGCCTGTTACCTCACAACCCCTCCCCCAGCGCTGCTTCTCCCCTCCCTCTTACCTATTTTTTTTATTGGAGTAAAATATACATAACATAAAATTTGCCATTTTAACCATTTTTAAGTGCACAGTATGGTGGCGTTAAGTACATTCATGTTCTGCTACCTGTCTGCCCTCCATCTCCGGAACCAGGCTCCCCCTGGGCGTTGGGTCGTTTCACTGCTAATTCCTGTGGCCTCATAGATCTTATTTGATTGTTACTGTTTCAGCAAATGTTTATTAAAGGCCTACTCTGTGCTAGAAATGAGAGGTGCAAAAATGAATAAGCGCATCTCTTCCCTCCATAGTTTTGCAGGCATTTGGTTAACCTAGTTCCATTGGCACTAACGTGCTGGTAGATACCTTCTTTGATGACGTTCTCAAGTTTCTTATGAAGAGATATTAGGAGAAATAAAGTGGAGTCTGGATTGTAAACAAATTTGGATAGTTTATCAAGAACGATTCGTTTTGAATACCAGGCAGGCTGGGAGAAAAGTACAGGAAAGCCTTTGAAGCTCTTTAGTGTGGTGGTCTTCCTTCTGGCCAAAGTTCTTGTCAGAAATTTCTGAGAAGATGAACTGGGAGTGGATTTGCAAATAGAGCATTAACTGTGCAGTCGTCCTGACTTCCTGCTCAGCGCTGGGGCAGACAGGGATCTGAGTCTGGGGAGAGAGCAGAGGGCTCCACAAACTGCCTCTAGGTTTTCCCAGAGTTTAAGTAGCGTGGATTAAAATAGGTTCTCAGGTGGACCCCAGAGGGATTCCCTACGATGCTTTGAAGACGTGGGCGCATTGCAGCCATACTGAGTTAGGAAATGGAGGGCATTACTTGTTCTTCATTTCGCCTCAGTGGCTCAAGCTTAACTTGACACCACGATGCCAAGTTCCTGGATAAAACGTCTGCTTTGGCAGTGATGGCAGTGGGCACCTCCCTGTTGGATGTGCTCTCTAGGAAGCTCTGTGTCCCAGCTGCCGCAGGCTGAGCTGGTGAGTTGTCACAGAAGCCTTGAGGAGGGGAGCCTGCAGGCATGCCTCGATGTTCGATGTTCGTTCGGTGATGTCTGTGAGCGCCAGAACCCTGGGCTCTGCTGTCATCCGCCTTCTCCTGCGCTCCCTCTCAAAACTGAGAGCTTTTAGGTGATCTGAGGGTTCAAATATTAAGGACTGGAAAAAACTGAAAAGCAGCAAGTTTATTGGGGGTGCTGTCTTCCAGGCAGAGAGCTGCCCTGCTCAAAACCAGAACAGCTAGTCTGGGAGAGTAAAGCTGGTCCCATCCTTGTCGCCCCCGCCCCACGCAGAGTGGAACCAGGTCAGCCGAGGTGCTGGGCAGCAGGGTCTTAGGATTCCGGTCGTGGAGGGTGGAGAAGTCAGCATTCACCAGAGGAATTTTCGCCCCAAGTCAGACGTAACCTTGGGGGGGAACTAAATATTTTCCTTCTCGTCTAAATCACCTTCTCTTCCTGAGACAGACTCGGGCACAACAGGATTGGTGTAACGCGGTTTCTATGGCAGAATGCCGTCTGGGCCTGGGAACAGACAGACTTTTGGAATGTGGCTCTAAGGCAGAAACTACCTGTGCTTAAGCTCTTTTTGCAATTTAGGAATTTCACTCAGAATTTTTTTCTCTTTGCATCTGTGAGGAAGAGATTGATTTCTTATTTTGAGAAGCGGGCCATGTCATGGGTTTCAGATTGCTGAGGTTTGTCAGAGGTGGCAGTAGGTGTTTACCACCAGGGGCTGCGGAGTTCTGACTGGGTTTGCAGTGGGTCTTCCCACCATGCCCTTGGGCAGAGGTGTCCCCCAGAGTCCTGGTTCCGGCTGTCCCTCCCTGGGCTTTCATGGTGGACCTCCACAGCAGATGCTGCCTGACCGCCACCCTCCTGAGAAGGCTGAGAAGGGGGGACTGCTGTCTGGTATTCCTCTTCTGCACGGATAGTATGTGCTGGCCGTTCACGTGGAGGTTGTTGATTGTCTCTTTGTGATCAGTGTTATTGAAGATGACAAACCTCTGCTTGGTGGGACATGAAGAAGTCAGGGTTTTTAAGATGTAACCCTCTATTCTCCCCGCAACAATCAATCACAATTTATGAAAATACTGCCTTTGTGAGATCATTTCTAGGGCTTTTTTTCCTTATTTCTAGGCGTATGTTTAAATTTTTTCTTTATGAAAGGGTAGCCCCCAAAAAAGCCTAGCTTATTGTGATAAATCAGTCTGGTAATTGGTGTTTTTGTAGGGATTCTACTTTTTGCTATTGAGGCAAAATAGAATTTTTAAAAATTGGATATATGTAATTAACAATGCCCTGAATCTAGAACTTCTGTCTTACCTCGTTATATGCTATAGAACAGAATGGTTTCACTCACGAATTACGTGACCACATGATCCTCTAGATAGGAAAATTAATTCTAGATGTTTATTTTACAAGTAACACACGGGTCTAGCTGCGTGTATTAGAAGGGGCACTGATTGGTGACATCAGGCGTCTTGGCTTCTGTCACTGAAGGTCCCTGGACTAGGTGATCTCTTCAGATACCTTTTACCTCTAAAATTCCTTCATACTGAGTGATTTTAACATAAGAAGATTTGAAATCTTTACTATATTTTGCATTCTTTAAACTCCACCCCTTTTGCTTTTCAGCATTAAACTGAAAAGATGTCCCTGTATGATGACCTGGGAGTGGAGACCAGTGACTCGAAAACAGAAGGCTGGTCCAAAAACTTCAAACTTCTGCAGTCTCAGCTTCAGGTGAAGAAGGCAGCTCTCACTCAGGCAAAGGTAAGAGAAGCCCACAGTGAAAGCAGAAGTCTGCAGAGCAGGTTCCTCCTCAGGATTAAGAGTAATTTGGTTTTAGCTTGCTCTTCTGCGTTTTTTTGTTGGTTTCTTTTCTTTTCTTTTCTTTTTGGTGAGGAAGATTGGCCCTGAGCTAACGTCCGTGCCAGTCTTCCTCTATTTTGTACGTGGAGTACTGCCACAGCATGGCTTGACGAACAGTGTGTAGGTCCACACCCAGGATCTGAACCTGCAAACCCTGGGCCACCGAAGCAGAGTGCACGAACTTAACCACCTTGCCACCAGGCTGGCGCCTCTTCTGCCTTTTTATTGAGCATGTAGGATTAAACACTCAGAGAGAGAGAGGCTCTGGGGAGAGAGGAATAAGGAGCTTAAGGTCATTTTGCTTCTCCTGACTCCTGGGAATAGAACTATTTCAGGGAATCGGAATGAAGCTAAGCAGTACTCTCAGTTTCCAGCAACGTTGCTGGTTTTCAAACTTTAGTCTGTCTAAGACTGGCTGAACATTTGGTTAAGATGCTGCTTCAGTAGCCATATTCCTGATATTCTGGTCAATTCTGGTTCTGAGTTGGGGCCCCAGAGTTTGCGTTTTTTGGTAGAGTTGCTGCCGTTTGCTGTAGGCGCTCTGGAAGCGGTGCTCTGAGGAGCGAGGCTCCGCGGTCACTACTAAGCTGTGAGGGTCTGTGTGCTTTGCTGCAGGCTCGGCTCCTCGTCAGGTGTCAGGTGGCTGTAGTCTGGGGGCAGTTGCTTTTGTTCCTGGTGTGTACGTGTTGGGCATTGGCAACATCATTGAAGTTATTCAGTGTGTAAAACATTAAAAACGTAGTTGTCCGCTGGATATTTGCTGTTAAAATGTGACTGTCAAATACTTTTAGGAATGAGAATGGGTTATGTTTTGCTTATTGTTTTAGGGCCGTTATGTTGTAGAGCCTGCATATCCAATGGAGGCTCCATCCCCCAAACAGGACAAATATCGGTCCTGAGGGGGTAAAAGCATTCCTGCTTTTTTGTGTGTAGAGCACAGATAGACGTAAAGTACATGAACAGGACAAATATTGGTCCTGAGGGGGTGAAAGCATTCCTGCTTTTTTTGTGTGTGGAGCACAGATAGACGTAAAGTACATGAACAGGACAAATATCGGTCCTGAGGGGGTAAAAGCATTCCTGCTTTTTTGTGTGTAGAGCACAGATAGACGTAAAGTACATGAACAGATATAGTGGATCTATGGCATCAAAATTTCAGGGGTGGGGGCAAATGCGTTAAAAGGCTCTTGGAGTGGGGAGGCAGTGATGAAAAAAGAAGGTGAGAAATACTGCTTGAGAGATACCTATTGAAATATTTACTGATAAAATGATATATTTTCTGGGATTTATTTTAAAATAATCCATTGGGCGGGGTAGGAATATACATAAAACAAAATTGGTCATAGTTGTTGTCAGCAGTAGAAACTTAAGAATTCTCTTAAGAATCTTACCTCTTAAGACTTAAGAATAATCTATTCTCTTTAATTTTATGTTGGAAGTTTTCCATAAAAAGTAGTTTTTGAAGTTAGAATTATTTTTCCTTTACTACATCATCAATAGATACTTTAACTGAGGTGTTTATGTTTGATTGTACAGTATTATAAAAGGTTTTTAGAATTAGGATACCCACAGGTAAAGCAACGCTATCTTAAAATTTAAATTTGTTGTCTTTTTCAAATTCACCGTTCCCAGATTTAATTTTTTTTTTTTTCCTGAGGAAGATTCGCCCTGAGCTAACGTCTGCGCGAATCTTGCTCCACTTTATATGTGGGTCCCCCCCACAGCATGGCTGACAAGTGGTGTAGGTCCACGCCTGGGATCCAAACCTGCAAACCCAGGCTGCTGAAGCGGAGTGTGCCAGACTTAACCCCCACACTACAGAGCTGGCCCCCAGATTTAAATTTTTTTATCCCAGTATTTAAAGAGAGAGAATTTTGTCTTTTTAAAACAAGCTTTCATCCCACATGGAAGGAAGATTAACAAAACAAGTCTTGTTTTTCCTTTTAATTTTTTTAAATTGTTTTAATTTTTAAAATCTTGGTAAGTTTGTATAACTTTTGCTTTGCATGTAAGGTGTATAAATAAGGTTTTGTATTCCAATACCAATACCATTTCATGTATTTTACTCTTGAAGGGCTAATCTTCTCTTTTATAAAATGACTAGCTCCAAGGGAATTCTCATACTTAATAACATAAACTCAGACTTTAAGTGGACATAATTAATGGGCAATCGTATTTCAACAGAAGATAATTAATTGAAAAGCAGAAGTCAAAATATACTAGATCTATACAGATTAAAAATTGTTTGGGATAATTCTTTATTACCAGCTTAAAAATTGTCAGCTTCATGAATTACTTGCAGCCAGTTTTTTAAAATCCTGGATAATTTTGTTTCTTCCTGCCCAGTGTGCTTCAGGATCTCTTTCTCTATCCAGCTGGTGGGTATTTGTAAACTATAGGTTAAAAAGCCAGCTTATAGAAAGTACAACTGAGACACTAGATCCTTCCAAAAAATAAATGTATTAAAAAGTCAAATACAGTTTACGGATCACATAGTAATTTTCTGTACTATTATTTTACTCACATGAAAGTAAAGAGTTAGATGCTGGTAAGTGAGGAATTATGTTTTTATGTGACATCTAGACTCTTAGACATCCTCTTCAGTATCTGCTTCAGTCTGTTTAATTTATGCTTATCTTTCCATGTATACAAATACATTAATTTTAGCTACTAGGAAATCTCTTGAGATTTCAAATAGATATTTTTGATTGATCAAAATAAAATGATTGTGAAATAATTTCTGCAACATTCTAACATCTTTTGAGATTGCTGTGTGAAGTTAGTATTGTGTTTTTCTCGAAGGGAAGTGAAGATACTCTTAGGCTGTTTTATTAATTAATTAATAACTACTAGATTGGCCTAACCAAATCTGTAAAGGTGTTTGGTATAGAAAACTACCTACAACTGAAAGATGGAGCTGTGATTTCATCTATATTTCCATTTTGAAAAAATAAAAAATTATAATAGAAAAATATGTGATCCTGATGATCCCCCTATTGTCCTTTAAACTTTGGTGTTCAACTTGTGAATTGTGTATTTAATGATTGGATTAAATTTGTATGCTTAAAATTATAAGCACTGTTAAATTCAGGAGAGATGGTAGCTTATTTTGAGCCTTTTGTAGTGATAATAATGAAAATGTATAACATTTTAAATTGCAAAGGGAGGAAATTAAAACCTTTATAACCAGAAGATCAAATGGTCACCATACCCGTCTGATCATGTTTAACATTGCTAACAGACAGCCTGACCTTGTGGGCCTGCTGGGGTGGTGGAAGACAAGCACACCACCTCACCTATGAAGTATTCTTGCTAAAAAGCACTACCCTAATCTAATCAAGGTTTAACTCAGGTTTTGAGAATTGTAGGGCATAGAGGAATAAGTGAAACTAGACCGCCGGGAAGTTATCAGACAGATCTGGAACATGCAACCTTTTACGAGATAGTGTCAGAGGATAAAGGAAAGGTAGGAGACAAAGATGCTGGTGCTGTGATGGTGATGACACGATGGCAGGGAAAGGGAATGTTGTAAATAAGAGACTTAAAACCACATGAATTGCTGCACTTTGGTAGGATGCTGGTTCAAAATAAAATCAGCTATTTAAAAGACATTTAGGGGACAGCTTAGAAAATCTGAGTATGAATTGGATAGGAAATGATAGAGGGCATTATGGGTTTTATTACATGTGGTAATAGTATTGTGGTTATGGTAAGAGAATGTCGTAGTTTTAGGAGATTAAGGGTAAAGTGTCGTGGTGTCTCCAACTTTCGAATGGTTCAGCACAGAATGTAGGTGCAGGGTAAAGCAAATATGATAAACTGTTAATGGGTTGATGGTATATGAATGATCATTGTTCTCTTTTAAAAATTTTTTTCTGTGTTCGCATAATAAAAGAAGTAGGGGAAGATTTTGTATCCTGCGAGGAGGAAAACACCCCTAATGCACAAGCATCTTTTGTCCAGGGTGTAAAAACATGCCCATTCCTGTGGAGGGTCCACACTAGTCACAGTTTAACATGCTGTCACAGGTTTGCCCTCCTGTGGTCAAAGGGAAAAGCCAGTGTAGAGCTTTTTTCATACGTTATGGCACATGCAAATCTCAATAAAGCGACCACAGTTACTGTAACCTTTTTATAAAAATGGAGGAAATGCATGTTGTAAAACAAGGCTAAAGAAACTAGTGTATTGTTATAGTAATAATTGCATTAAAAGGCTGTTGTTTTAAGACGATAGTCTTCTCTTATCTGAAAGGTTTGTTACAGAGATGGGAAAGGCTTTCTCACAGTAGGAGGAATTTCAGTGTGGAGCTTCAGTACACTTATTTTGTCTCTCCGGGACTCTAGAGCCAGAGGACAAAGCAAAGCACGGTCCTCGCCCCAGTCATCGACCTGAAGCGAGCTGGCTCTTCAGACGACCGGCAGATCGTGGACACCCCGCCGCACGCAGCCGCCGGCCTGAAGGTGAGCTCCTGCCTGGGGCGGCTCTCCTGCCGCCTGCAGTCTCACGTCCGCTCGTGTCACTCCAAACACAGCCGCCTCACTAGGCCCTCGCAGTGTAGTCAGTATCATCTTCAACTTAATTTTTACTTTTGTTTTATCAAGTTAAAAGTATTTGTCTACTTAAAATAGTTCATTACAGAAAAATGAGGAACTGGAGCTATGCAAAAAGAAAAACAGATGACTTCAGTTCTACCCGCCAGAAGTTAAAACTGAATATTTTGGAATGCCTTTCCATTCTGTGCCTCCTCCACCTTCTGTTCTCTAACTTGCTTTTCTCACTTAATGTGTTGTGACTGTCTGTCTGTGTCAGAAAGTATAGGACTGTGATCATTTTAACGGCCTCACTGTATTTTTTGCTATCGTCAAGAATGTTAGTGCTTATTATTTTGTTGCGGGTTAAAATAGAGAAAAGGGTTAAAAAAAAAATGAACAGTTCTACTACCCTAACTTTTATTATCCGAGTGATTTTACATGAGCTTAAAGACAAAGAAACAGACATGGTCATCTCTGGAAATGGAGTGTGAGGATGAGGAAGATCTGGGAAAGTTACTCAGAATCATAGTTAAAACTACACAGAATGAGGGACAGATGAACCTCATGTCAACTGCAGTTAAAACTACACCTGCTCTTTAGGTATACATTTAGCCTTCGCAGATGGCATTCGGATAACACGACTGCCGTGTTTAAACAGCACCACGCACACGAATTGCATGATGAAAAATGACCGAGAGGTTAGTAATAGATAGATTGTGGTTATCGTGACTGGTAGCAAGGTACTGTCCCCACTCGTGCGCCCCTTCAGACTATTGGAAAGGACCCCACATTGAGCTGAGACACTCCCAGCTGTAGGCCCCATCCGTTTGTCTAGTTTCTCTGTCCTCAGTGTTCTGGCTGTCCTGGCTTGGGATCCGCTTGCTCCACCCTGCTTTCGTTCTGAGACAGGGCACAGCTGAAGCTCTTGGGGGATTTCTTGCCCGAAGACCTGTTGCTGCTCCTGCAGGCTAATAGTCTGCACCCCACAGTGGAGGTGTTTGGGGGGACTCTTGGTTAACATTTTTTTACCCACAAATTCCCTACCTAATTTTTTCTCGCTATGTCTAGTCAAAAACTGTTTGATCATCTTCTGTTATTGTGTATTGACTGTAGAACCTATAGTATTGGCCCCCCACAAATTTAATCAATAAGCATTTTCCTTCTTTTACATAGCTTCCATAACGAATTTTTAGTTGTAATGTCTTCCCGTCAAGTGAATGTATGGTTATTTGCCAATTATTCCCTAAGTGTAGAACCATCTAGAATCAGCTTTTAGGTTGTCATTATAAATAACACTCTAATGAATATCTCTACAAAGAGCTTTCTATACGTTTAAAATTATTTTCTTAGGATAGATTTTCAGAGACGGCATGAAGACATTAGTCATTTTTATGGACAGTTTGTTTTAGTGCCAGCTTGTTCCCAGCAGAGTTGTGTCAGTACACGCTATCACCTACAATTTATGAGAGTTTTAGTTTTCCCCACCCTCCCCAGCATTGGAGTGTTAACATTTTAATTTTTTTAATCTAACAAATTGCTTTGTACTTGATAACCATGTAGAGAACCATGGCTCATTGTTAAACTTATTAGCAGGGTTTATACAGTAAGCATTGTTTGCTTTCAGATTTTGAAATGACAAAGAATTAACCTTCATACTGACAATTTGTTCTGTCAGAAACTTTGCGATAATAGTATTGTGTATATTGAGTAGCTCTTTGTTAGCTTCTCTCTGGTCTTAATAATAACTGAAAGGAAATCTTGTGCATGTGCGTTTGTGTTGTTAACATGTCTCTTATATGAATTCATATGAAACAGATTCATAACTACCCTTTGGGAACCCTATGTTAAACAGATTTGTATAAATTTTCCAGTGATAGGCCCTCAGTGGTGATTATAGTTATTTTTCTGATTTCTTTTATTCATCAGACCATGGTGTTTCCTGATTTTTAGTTAAAAGGAAACAATGAGATGTTTGTTTTCTAATGCAAAATGTCAAACTGAACAGTGTAATACAGGCATTGTTAGATTTATAACTCTCTTGACCATGTGATTTTTGTGTTCAATACAAAATACGGTTGACAAACAGCCTTCCTGCCTTTGGGAGTGTTGCGCAGTGTCCCTCCTGAAAGAGGTGCAGCGTGGGCCCTTGTCCTAACCTGCGCTGCCCAAGGTATCTGTGGGGCCAGTTAAGGCATCCTCTTTTTACAGATGATAAGGAGGAGTTACGCTAAGAACACTAACGGAAGAACACATGGAGGTTTAGCAGAGTTTGATCATGCAGTAGATCAGGGCTCACCAGAGCCATGTGGAGGTCAAGACCACCCACCTAGAGGGAAGCCCCTTCTAGTCAGCTGCGCTCTGTCTGCCTTTGGTTTTTCTCATTTCTTTGTTAAGGCTACTACTTTTCTCTCCAAGAGTAGCCCCAGTTTCTAAACGTATAGACAAGAAATGCAAAATGTTATCATCTTAACCTGTGAAAAATTAATTAGAAAATTAATTAGAAAAATTTGAAAAATTAATGATGATGTGAAGGGAGTTACATCCACCTGTGTCAGACTCAGCACCTGAAATGCATCCTACCTGGGAAGGGATGTGTATCCCAGGGAATTGCAAAAAGCCCAAGAGGATGCTTTTTGCTTTTTTAAAAATTCTTAATATATCATGTCTCTTATGTAATCAGAATCTAGTTATTCTATTAAATGACCACAAGAATGATTATTAGTCATGGGTTGTTTTGTTTTTTAAGTTTTCATAGATATATAAAAACAGAAGTATTCAGTGTTTACTATAAATAATCAAATTTATTGCTTAAAGCTTTAGGTGGTGGCAGCTTGTTTAGGAATTCCGGGAGAATGCCATAGGGTATTTATGGAATTAATACTGAACTAAGAGATGAAGTTCTTTGTCCTGGTTCTGCTGCTCCCTCCCTAGGTGTGTGGCCCTAGGTGTGAAACCTCCTTAGGCATTTGTTCCCTCATCTACAAAACAAAGGAAGCAGATGGCCTCCAAGGCCCCTTCTAACCTCATTTTCTTTCACTTTAATTCTTTGAATTAAATTCTAAGACATGAGGATGGTATGTACTTTGGCATTTTTACCTTTCTTAGGATCCTGTTCCCAGTGGATTTTCTGCAGGAGAAGTTCTGATTCCTTTAGCTGATGAATATGATCCTATGTTTCCTAATGATTATGAGAAAGTAGTGAAGCGCCAAAGAGAAGAACGACAGAGACAGCGGGAGCTGGAAAGACAAAAAGAAATAGAAGAGAGAGAAAAGTAAGGCTTTGTTTGGCTTTGGGATATTATACGTTTGAAATATTCACTAGAATATTAACGAATGAACTTTAGTGCTGTCTGTAAAGCTGAAGTTAGTTTTCACGGTTGATCTGAGCAGTCATCAGAAGGAGTCAGATTGTTTTTAAGAATTTGTAGTTGTTGAGCCAGCCCTGATGGCCTAGTGGTTAAAGTTCGATGCTCTCTTCGCTTCAGTGGCTCAGGTTTGGTTTCCGGGTGCGGAACCATGCCACTCCTCTGTCAGTAGCCATGCAGTGGTGCTGGCTCACATAGAAGAACGAGAAGGACTTGCAACTAGAGTATACAACTGTGTACTGGGGCTTTGGGGAGGGGGAAAAAAAAAGAAGAAGATTGATAACAGATGTTAACTAGGGACATCTTTCCCAGAAAAAAAAAAAAAAAGAAAGAATGTGTGGTTGGTCACATCCCAGCATGAAAAAGAATTTGTAGTTTGTTACATCCCAGCATGAAAACAAACTCTGGAGCAAATTTCATATATAGATGCAGAAAACTTAAAGTGCACATTTTAGGTGAGTTGTTAGAAAAGTAACTTAGAAACCTGATGTTGAATAATAGTTTTTTTCCCTGTGCTATGACTCTGCTAGCTATTTAAAATGCCTAAAACGTTATTCTTTATTTTTGAGCCAGATGGAATTTTTTGAAACTTACATTCATCTTTTATTTATGTTTTTTAAAAGTGTGGGTAACAAGGATTTATTTGATTTTCTTCTTTGTAAAATATTGAATATTAATTATTAAATAGTTATAAAATATTGATATACTATTTCTCCTTATTTTTGAATCATTTCATAAAGTGAAAGCATGTTTGGAGAATTGAAATTATTAAACTATTGCCTATGTTGATATGTATGCTTTAAACTTGAAAGAGGTAAATATCAAGGAAACTTTTTTCTTGCTACTTATACTCATGTACTTAGTAAATTTGTTCAATTTGTCTTCTGGATTTTTCCCACTTCTCATATCTTTGCTACTTTAGTCTTCAGCCAGTTTTTTGCATGCCGCCATCCCCCAAATTTATAGTTTAGTGTGAAAGGGAGGATTTGGGTATTTTCTAGCCAAGAGAAAGTCAAGGTGGCGTCCTTGGGTTCACATCTCTAAGTTGGTTTGTCTGTGATGAATATTTGTTTCCTTTGTTATCACAGGAGGCGTAAAGACAGACATGAAGCTAGTGGGTTTTCAAGGCGACCAGATCCAGATTCTGATGAAGATGAAGATTATGAGCGAGAGAGGAGGAAAAGAAGTAAGGCATGAACAGAAATGTTATGTTTCAGATCTAGTGCAATTCCGTTTTTTGCTTTCCGTATTTAATTTGATGAATAGTTCAGTTGACATTGATTTGGGTGGTTTTCTCTCTAGAATTCCAGCAATCCACACTGGCATAACAGTTTTTATTTACATTGTGTTTTCACATACGTGCTCCTTGGAGCTTCCCAACTACTTCTAACATTTATTTATTGAATACTTTGAACACATCTTGAAATACATAGACTTTTCTTTACCTGCTGCACGGTTGGCCTATTCTTTGTATCAAGCTGCATTTCTGTTAAGTACTGAATGGAGAGTCAAGGCGCTCGTTTCCAGAAGGTTTGCCACTAACATGCGTGAACTTGAAAAGGTCCCTGCGCTTCCCTAGACGCTGGCTTCTTTCAGTGTCTGTAGTGAGCTGGGAGATGAGAATTTGAACTAGGTACTTCATAAGGCCCCTCCCATCTCTACAGTTTTGCAAGCAGAATTGTAATTGTGTTAGAGCTGAATTCTTAGTGACCACGGGATAGTTAAGCAGTGCTCATTCTTAAGACAATGGGCTGCTGCTTATTTTACCTTCATTTTGTTTTGATTGCTGAGATTTCCTTGAGTTGGTGGCTAGTTTGGTTGACAGATTGAGAAGTAAGTGAGAAATTTTAAATCTTCTACTTGTCTGCTAGATGCCAGACACTGTTCTAAGCACTGTCATAAATTATCTCCTTTACCCCACCCAACAACTCGACCTGGCTCTGTGATTATCCCTATTTTAAGGGTGAAAAAATCTGAGGCACAGAGGGACCAGCTACTTTACGTAGTACAGGTCCACTGTTCATTTTCTCCAAGATCTTCATCTGCCCGAAAACGTCATTGTAACATGGTTATCTTTAACGTGAGACCTAAGAATAATGTTATCGTGATGCTGGAGTATATTTGCCCATAACGTGGACTCTGTTTTATGATCAGCAGTTTGGCAAGCCTGGTCTTCCCAAGTGCACAGCCACGGTTGTTGCAGGTTTTGATTTAAATCTTAAAATCTTTCAAATACTGATTGAGTTCGAAAAGGGCGAGTCTGTAGTAATTTACAATTCTTAATCTTTCATTCCAGATAGGAAATGAGTATTTATAGACTGTTTACTATGAACAACAAAAAACATAGACACAGAGAACAGATTGGTGGTTGCCAGAGGTGGAGGGTGGGGCGTGGGAGAAGTGGGTAAAGGGGGTCAAAAGGTACAGACTTGCAGTTATAAAATAAATAAGTAAGGGGATTAATGTACAGCATAGTGACTATAGTTAATAGTACTGTATTGCATATTTGAAACTTGCTAAGAGAGTAGATCCTAAAAATCCTCAAAGGAAAAAAAAATGTCGTAGCTACATATGGTGATGGATGTTAACTAGATTTACTGTGATCGTTTCGAAATATATACAGATAGCTAATCATTGTTTCCACACCTGAAACTAATATATCTCAATTATTCTTCAAAAGAATACTGACTACAGGCTGAGCGCTGTTAGATACCACATTGTTTTTCTCATAAAGAGTAAACATTTGAGTGTGCTGTGTGTCAGGCATTATGTTAAACATTTCATGGCCATTATCTTATGAATCACCACATGTTTAGTTTTTTTTTGTTGTTGTTGTTTTGTTTTGTTTTGTTTTAAGATTTTATTTTTTCCTTTTTCTCCCCAAAGCCCCCCGGTACATAGTTGTATATTCTTCGTTGTGGGTTCCTCTAGTTGTGGCATGTGGGACGCTGCCTCAGCGTGGTCTGACGAGCAGTGCCATGTCCGCGCCCAGGATTCGAACCGACGAAACACTGGGCCGCCTGCAGCAGAGCGCGCGCACTTAACCACTCGGCCACGGGGCCAGCCCCACCACATGTTTAGTTTTTACTAAGTTGTTGTAGAATCCAGTATGTAGGTTGAATATTTGTTGATCTCATTTTTCCATCTTACGTATCAGCTGTCCTTTTGTAAGGAGGTGTGCCTTGTATATTAAGGACATTTACTTTTTTCTTGAACATTAGCAGGAGCTGTACAATTTAATATGAGGGAAGTAATGGCATTATAGCCATTATGTGTACTGCTGTTAATAGATTGATGTTCATATTTTAACTGCTGAGTAGCAAATTTCCAGTAATCATCCAGAATTTTTTATGCTGAACTCATTAGAGCTAATCTTTTCAGAATCAATAATTGCTTAGGTCTTAGTGACAAGGTTAAAAAATGGTAATAGGTATTTCAAAAGAAATATAAGAAAGTGTTATATAGGTTCGTATTTCTCCTCAAGTATTTGTCTAGCCCAGGCCTGTTAATCATGATGAATGTACACTGGCTTTAGAGGATTTTTTTGGTGAAACATTTCATGCTGGTGCGGCATGGTTTTATAATCAGGTTATTTTTTGGTTACATTTTATTTTTTGGATTATATTTCATTGGTGATTAAGTTATAATACATATGTTAGGGCCTATGTGTAATGAAAAATTCCTTATATTCTCCACTCGTGTTTTTCTTCTGGTTGTCAGATAGCAAGTGGAGTCTGTTTTGGTTCATTTGTGTCCACAATTCTCTGTCCAGGAAGCATGAGCAGGAGTGGTGACAACACAAAACAGACTCTTTAGGAACCAGAAGTACCCACATTTCCAATAGGTGTTTGGATCCAGTGGTTTGTACCCTGGAAAGGAGTGTGCTGTGTTGTCAAGGGAAGCTTTGGCATCACAGGGAGCTGGGCTTTATTCTCTCTGCCCATTAACTCTCCTCTGATCCTTTTCTCATCTGGAAAATGAAACAGTAGTACCTGCTTCAGGGGTTTGTTAAGCCTAAATGAGAGAACATAGGTGAAAGTGCCTGCTGGGGCCCATGCTCTCAGTAAATAGCTATCTTACTGTTTTCTGAGTAACTGCTAGTTCTCCAGGTTGGGCTCTTTTACCTTAAAATTCATTTATTGACTATATTCTGGGGTTCATGAATGCCTGCTTTGAAAAAAATAATTTTGTCCATCTGGGTTTTGCCAGTTTTCTACATTTTTAATCCTAGATTCAGAGGAGATGAAGCAGGTCTTTTCCTTTTTAGTTCCTTTCTTTGCAGGGGTGGCATGTGGCTGGGGAGGGGGGGGACGGGGGGCGGGGGGTAATACAACAATGGTAGGTGTCACAGCCCTGGAGTCTGGCATCTGACATGTCTTCCATCTTCCCTCCTTTAATCGGCGGAATTTATGTTTTTGCAGGTATGGGCGGAGCTGCCATCGCACCACCCACTTCTCTTGTAGAGAAAGACAAAGAGTGTATGTATTATGGGTTTCTTCCTCTTTTCTGCTGATAGGATCTTTAGCCCAGTCTGGGAAGTCGTAGCTGGGATCAGCCAGGTTTCCTGAGTGTAAAGGGGGATGGCCCAAAACCGCACCTCTGCCTCTGACGCTGAGGCCACGTGGGGTCCCAGAGGCTGCTCTCTCCCACCGCTCCTACTGGAGAAGTTTATGTGCCGGCTCTGAGGCTTGGATTTTATACAGTGAGGTGCTATTTTTTGGTGTAATTTTTTTCCCTCCGACATTTTCTCTTAGGAATTAGGTTAAAACAGATAGCTCAGTTTACAATTTGTGTACTCAGTGTTTAGAGGCTGTTAAATTCTTGACCTTCCGCAAGGTGGCAGTGCCTTCCTTGATTAGATTTCTCTGCCTTCAGTTTCTATTTCAGTGTACATTTACCTACGTTGCCAAAACATGCCCACCTGCTGTTTCTTCTCCCAGTGATCTGTTCTAGAATTTTGGGGTTGGAATTGGACTTTGATATATCATCTACATCATTTTCCTCTTCTCTGGGTTAGACCACACCTAAACTATCCCAAGAAAATATAATCATCTCTAGTGCTCTTTAATATCTGTTGAACTATTTATATTATCTTGTTAAAGAAGATAATTCAAAAAATATTGTTAAATACCTTTTGTGTGAAAACACCTGACAAACCAGTTGAAACCAGTCTCTGGGAGTGGGGCCCAAGCATCTGGATCTTTTTAGAGCTTCCTTGTTGATTCTAACGTGTAGCTGGAGTTGAAAATCACTGCTCTGGTGGTACATGGTCCCTGACCCCAGAGACCGTTACTGTCTGCTCGGGTAACGAGGTGGTAAGATTAGAATCTAAAGACAGGTACACAGTGTGCTGTGGGAGTTGAGAGAGTTCAGTCGGAGCTGCCTGGGATGTGCAGAAAATCTTAAAGATTCAGACACGAGTTGTCATTTAAGAGCACTGTGGAGGGTAGCTTTTCAGTATGATGTGAAAAAGACGTTTGAGGAGATGTAAGAGCAGGCGCAAAGCTAGAATCAGAAAAATGGTCTTCTACCTCTGTGATTTAAAAAAGTCCTGTAAAGGCTATAGAATTGGTTTGGTTTTTTCTCATTCCTTGTAGTAAACTAAAAATGTCAGCTACATTAGTTCAAGATAACTGATTTATACAAGCGCAGTTGAGAACTGTTTTGTAGTATTTTGGTAAACCTGTGTTATTTTCATGCAACAGTACCCCGAGATTTTCCGTATGAAGAGGATTCGAGACCTCGCTCACAGTCTTCCAAAGCTGCCATCCCTCCCCCGGTGTACGAGGAGCAAGACAGACCCCGATCACCGACCGGACCTGGCAACTCCTTCCTTGCCAACATGGGGTAATGGTTCCAAGTGCTCTCATCTCAGCAGGTGTAGGGAGGACTCCAGCCCTTTCAGTAGATGCAGCTTGTTTGAAACGAGGGCATTCTCGGGTTTATAGGGAGACGCTTGGTGTGCTCAGTGCTGAGTCACATGGAGGGCGATCCAGCGTGATGCAGACATGTTTTGTACAAAACATAAAGCCTTCTAATGTAAGGGTTTTTGTTGTTTTTTTAAGATTGGCACCCGGGTTAAAATCTGTTGCCAATCTTTGTTTTTTTCCTTCTCTCCAAAGCCCCCCAGTACATAGTTGTATATTCTAGTTGTATGTCTAATGTAAGTTTTGAATGATTTAGATGCTGAACATTATATTCTCCAGGTAGGAAGAGTTTCTGATAATTATTTACATTTATTTTCATAACATTTGCAAATAAAATAGCTCACATGAGTTAGAGCTCCCTTACCCTCTGTCCAAAGGGTGGATGACATCTTTTTTTTCTTTATGAGCCATTTGCTTTAAGGTCATGATTCTTTTCCTTTGGTCTGAAAACTCTTAGTCATTCTAACTATAATTAGAAATTTGTTTGCTAGCATATAAAAACCAATTTTGAGGTTGACTTTCAGGTGGGCATGTGGATTTTTTGTAACCTCCACTGGATTTGCCATGCATTTTGGTTAAAGAATGTTTTGTGTTGTTTTACTCTGTTCCTCTCATGCTGTGAGCACTGTCCGATGAGGCAGCCTTGCCCTGAGTCCTTTGTTCTGTGTCCTATGACTGTAGCGATCACCTCGGTTTGCCCTGGCCTGTGTGCATTTGCTTTGCTTCTCAGAGCCCTTGGTGAGGTGACCAGGCAGTTGGAGTAGGTGGCTGGGCTTCATGCGCTGCAAGAGGGTTTTGAGTTTCTGACCTTCTTAGTATCCAGCTCCTAGACCTGCGTTGTTCTCTATGGTAGCTGCTGGCCACAAGGGGCTGTTAAAATAACTTAAAACGAACAGAGTTAAAGTGTAGTTCCTTGATCACACTAGTCTCGTCTCAAGTGCTCAATAACTACACAAGGCTGACAGCTGCTGTATTGGGCAGTGCAGAGAGACAACATTCCCGTCATCGCAGAAAGGTTCATTGGGTCACCCTGGAATGTATGCTGGGGGGTGGATAGACAGGAAGCTTTTTTTTTTCTGGTAATGATAAAAATTGATTTTTTGCTGACTCTCCTTTTAAACAAGAACTAAATTGTTAACTTATGCCTAAGGAAGATGCAATATAGTACAATTCAGCAGTTTTCAGTCTTTTCCTTTTAGCCCTAGTTCAAGTGAAATTTGTTCAAATGAAGTTTTTAAGGAAATTACACACGTGAAATAATGTAAGTGCAATTCTCGTTGAAGCACACAGTTTTGTGGTTCAAGCCCTAAGTAGCAGCAGCCACTGGGGGGCATCCTTGAGGCCTGTGAGGCACCTCAAAGTGTGGTTTGAAAGCTCTCATGGTGTTAGAGAAGAGCAGTAGACTAAGAATCAAGAGTCATGGGTTCCAGTTTCAATTCTACTGTTAACCTCTATAGAAATAATTTCTAAATGTGTCTTTCTTTGCTCCTAGTCAACTCTAAGCAGTCAGCTAATCTGGGCCTTCTGTTTCCTTATTTTCCCATCTATTAAATAGATAACCTCTAAGAGTTCTTTCATTTATAAAGTCTATCACTGGAAACTCTGCTATTTAAAAAAATGCTATCATTGTCACTACATGAACTTCATAGTTATTTTTTGACAGGCATGCTTTTAAATAAACTCTGGTCATGAGCTATAGCATTGCAGATACTGGAGCACACAAAAAGTCTAGTATTTTCTAGCAGGGGTACTGGGGAAATTTTGTTAGGGAAACTAGTGTTTCCCTTCCCTCAGAGATAATCTCCGGGTGTCGAGGATTTCCGCATTAGCTTTTTATATTTCTTCCATCCTGAACACCCCACAGCCTCCATCTAATGGCCCATGGTTAATCATATGTGACCTCATCGAAGCCTCTGTGGGATTTGTGCCCTCTTTGCAGGAGATTGTTGTGCTATAAAACCTGGTTTGTGCTATAGCTGATGACTTCAAGCGCAGAGATCTTTCTCTTTTTCCCCCTCCCAGTGGCACAGTAGCACATAAAATCATGCAGAAGTATGGCTTCCGGGAAGGCCAGGGTCTTGGGAAGCACGAGCAAGGGCTGAGCACAGCGTTGTCGGTAGAGAAGACAAGCAAGCGAGGCGGCAAGATCATTGTGGGCGACGCCACGGAGAAAGGTGCGTCCCCCCAGCAGGCTTGTTTTCAGGGTGGGAGCAAGGGGGAAGTGAGGTCCCGAGGGAGAGCACGGCCTCTTCTTGAGTAGAACGAGAGAGTCCTGATGATGGTGCTGTCCAGTTCTGTGCTGTGGAAACCGAGAGTCCTGAGGCTCGTCTTTATTTGTTCAGAAGAGATGGGAAGGCCATGGGAGAAAAGGATGACGAGACTTTGGCAGAAAATGAAAGTACTCAGAAAATAGTTTCGTGCCTCCTTGAATGAGGCAAAGAACCTTGTCGAATTGATAAAATCATAGTTATGTTTTTATAGCATGAAAGACAGCTGTGTACCACAGCATGTCAATGATGATAGCTGCTCTTGTCCCTCCTGGAATGGTTCTCTCCTCTTCCTTTCCCTGCCCTCTCATCACAAGCACGATTTCTGATTCTCTCACAGATCAATTGCCCTGTGAGATCTAATGTTATTTTGTAATCTGTTGCTAGAGGACGCCTACTTGGTGTTTTATTTTCATTTGATTCTTAGAACCTGTTGTCTACTGATGGCATATTGGAAGGAGTCAAACATATCTTAGTGTTTTAAGCAGGAGATTTGAGTTCATTTTGAGTCAGCCTTGCTGAACTCCCTTTCCTAAAGAAGGAAGAAAAGCTTTCTGGCAGCCCTGTCGATGTCTAGCTTTAGGAAGCGGCCAGTCAGCCTGACGGGCTAGTACCAAAAACCACGTCACCCCGATTATAGGAGTATCTGAAGTGAGTCAGCCTGTGGCTGGCTAATTAACTGCTCGTTACACTGGCCTAGTGACCTTCGGCTCCTGCCAAGGCCAAGACTCTCGCCTGTAAGGGTTGTGATTGTTGTGTTCTGTCCATCTTGTCGAAGTGAACTAAGCAAAAATTGCAGGTAGCCTGGGAAGCTGAAGACTTCCAGAAATTGTGGTAAAAACCTATATCAAAGCACAGTGGGTGCTTTTATTACAGATAGTACTAGATTTTTGCTCAGAGACTGCATAGGTGCTGATAGACAACTCTAGGACATAGTGGGGATTGCTGTTGAAATTAAATTATTCATTTTAACGGGACTCAGTGCCCTAACATGTCTGCATCTGATGATATGTTTTCCTACAGATGCAGCCAAGAAGTCGGATTCAAATCCATTGACTGAAATACTGAAGTGTCCTACTAAAGTGGTCCTACTAAGGGTAAGAAGGAGAAGACAGAAACCTGAGTGCCTACCTTGACTTGTGTGTCCCTGCGTGCTTCCAGCCCCACTGGTAGCATTATGGTTGAAGAACACGGAAACAGCACTTTTGCAAATGATGCTTTTGGATAGACTCTGTATAAGACTGATTTTAGATTTCCTTTTTCACTAATGTTTCTTTGCTGAGTACAGTATGTAAGGCTACAGTGAATAATTACTTTAAAATATTTGAAAGTATTGGAAGTTCAGCTTAGTTTACATTTTGATGCTTGCATAGATGATCTTGTACTTTATGAAGCTTAATATTTATTTTTGTTTGTTTTTTAAGAAATACCAACTTTCAGGTACTACAGGGATGAAAATTTTCATTGTGTCATTTGGGGTTGAGAACATTTGCCATCATGGAAAAAAGTTATTTATACATCTCATTTATGTATTTGTAAATTACACTTGATACTTGAATTTATTTATTTATTTTTGTTTATAGAACATGGTTGGTGCAGGAGAGGTAGATGAAGACTTGGAAGTTGAAACCAAGGAAGAATGTGAAAAATATGGCAAAGTTGGAAAATGTGTGATATTTGAAGTAAGAGTGCTTTCTTTTGATGTTTGTACCCCTAGTTGTAATTGACAGATTACAGAACATTTTCTACAAATAGCGACAGGACGTGCTGCAAGTAGCATACGGTCTACTGCAGAAGGTGACAGATGTTGGTTAGTCATACTTCTCTTATTCACTTATAACAATTTTGAACATAAAGACAAGGACTTCAGATTTTATTAGATGAAGAATTAAAATGTTTCATTTTATGATTGAGGTTTAGTTTGGTGACTAGAGACTTTGCTGTGTGCACAATAGTTTGGTTACTTGGACCTGCCTTTGGTTTCCTTCGTTTGGCGGGTGTGTAGTTAGTGCCTCTCACATGCCCCACACTGTGTTGAGAGCATTCGGAGTACAGGAAACATGTTCTGTCCTTTCAGTGATGTGTTCAAACACATGTGAAAATAGAGAATATTCAGTTGCTAGATTTCAGTAGTTTTGACTATAAGTACAGGAGTTGAGAAAGGGATTAAATCAACAAAAATAGTTGGAGAAGGCTTTGTGAACAGTATCAGATGTGAGCTGTGAAATGAAGTGGTACGATTTGGATAGAAAAGAGTATTCAGATCAGGGTCACAGCTTCTGGGAGACTGAGGAAGGCAGCAAAATGGGATGGTTGGGCGTGTGGGGATTACTGGGAGACCTGCTTACGTAGATGGAGCGGAGCCAGGTTCTGCAGGGCTTAGAAAGCGCGACAGAGGAGTTCAGCCTACTGTGAGAGGCAGTCAGAGTGCGAAGCTTTTTGTCGTCAATTTCTGCTCTCACTTGTGCTCCTCTTCCATGTCGTGATGCTGTTTGTTGACCACGTAATTACTTGTTTATCTGCAGCTGGCACAGGCCCTCCAATGGGTCACAGACTGCCCTGCTTAGCTCTGTGTTCCTGGCGCCTAACACAGTGTGTGTCATAAACAAACGGTCAACAGATTTTGGTGACAAACAAATTACACTTATTTCCTTGGTTTCTGGCTACTACTTGTCCGTACATGGTGGTAATTAGGATACTTTGGCAAAAATCATTTAAGGAAGAAGACCTACTTTCAGTGATATCTCAGATGATAACTTTACCTATTGCACTTTTCTTTCTTTTCCAGATTCCTGGTGCCCCTGATGATGAAGCAGTACGAATATTTTTAGAATTTGAAAGAGTTGAATCAGCAATTAAAGGTAAGTTGTACAGCTAAATAATAGAAAGAATAAAACAGTCAAATTGTGTTCTTAATTGTTAGGTAATGAAAACATGTTCTTGCAATGTCTTAGAGGAAGCCTGTATTAACTGACTGTCTTTTTGTTTGCCTTTTAGCTGTTGTTGATCTGAACGGGAGGTATTTTGGTGGACGGGTGGTAAAAGCATGTTTCTACAATTTGGATAAATTCAGGGTCTTGGATTTGGCGGAACAAGTTTGATTTTAAGAACTAGAGAGCAAGTCATCTCCAGTGACCCCTAAGTGAGCTGCAAGCTGAGCAGAGAAGAAAAAGGTGGCAGCCACCTGCATGGCTGTTGGGTACAGAGACTCTTGAAAGAACTTCTAAGATATATGTTGACTGATCCCTTTTTTATTTTGTGGTTTTTTAATATAGTATAAAAATTCTTTAAAAAAAAAAAAAACAATCTGTGTGCCTCTCTGGTTGTTTCTCTTTTTTATTACCACTTCTGAGGTGATTACATTTTTTGCTAGGATTTCATGATAATTCTCAAGTGCTTCAGTGATACAGCATTTCTTGCACTAAAAAATCTAGAAAGTTTTGGGGTATGGGGTTGTATTAAGTTATCCTTTGCTTTTCTTTCTTTCTTTTTTCGATTCATTTTAATAAAACCTGCAAGTTACTAAACTGTAGCTTCATAAATTGTGTAATAAAGTATCATCTTGGCAGTCTGCCAAAGGTGGAAATGCCTGCTTTCTCTAACAGAGAAGTTCTTCTTATTGACTCCAGTCACAGAAAAAGCTCTTTACGGCCTGAACTAAGGTTGAAGAACTGAACCTTCCATGACCTGTTCGGATGAGTCATTTTCGGTTAAGCTGAGTCAGACTATTATGGTTTGTGATGGATTTAGGGGTATATGGGTATAGAAATCATGAATCTAGCATTTGTTTTCAGAGATTCAAGCATAGTCTTTAGCGTAGATCAGAAATGACAAGTTAATTCAGAACCTCGCAGGTACCTTGTAAATGTGTATCCAGTTATGTTTTGGAAATGGTGGTTCCTTGGGGTCATGTTTCTACTGGCAAAATTTGCAGTAGTGTCAGTTCTCATGTGAAACTTTTAAATTTATAAAATTTAGCCACATCAGCTGCTTGAACTATACTGCCGATTAATATAGTTTTGGAATTTTGAAAAATTCTAGCATTGCGGTACAGTGGTGTGTGTGGCTTAAAAATTTAGCAGGACCACAAAAAAGAAAACAGATAAAAATATTTGGTACTGAGGTTTGTTGCCAGAGCAGGAAGTGTTTCCAGAGCATATTTGTGCCTGTGTTCTGTTCCTCACTTGCCCGAATATTGCATGTGACTTTCCTGAAGTGGCAACTGAAGGACATGCAGCTGTGTTGTCTCTTTAGGTTATTACGACATGAAAGTGTGTTGTGACCCTTCGGAGGAAGAAGCACTCACCATTTCTTTGCATTCATGGACTTGGTTTGGAGACATAAGGAATATTCTGACCCTTTTTAAAAAAGGATTTTCTCATGTTTTTATTTAACATAAATAAAGAATAACATTTTCTCTTTTGTGGTATTATTTTACTGAGTGAAATTGAATTAAGGCTCCGTTTTGTGATGAAAGTGCACATACTCTATAAAAAAAGTTTGGGTTAAAGAATATAAGATAAAAGAATTATGTAATTGAATATTTTGCAGTACATAAGAGTCAACAGCAGCCCTGAAACTTGAACCGGGCAACCTGTGGACTTAGCTGCTTAGCGCCAATGTGGATGCCACATTTGGGTTTACAAGTACCTAATGTGCTTATGCCGAGTATTTATTATGGCTTAGTTTAATTTGTATAAACTCTAATATTCTTGAAGTATACATTCGAAACCACCTTTAATGCCTGTATTATTGTTACACTTTATAATAACATCATTATTTATTTGCATTTAGGGGGCTTTTCCCAGCGTTCTCATGACCAACAACCAGAGAAATGCAAATCACTTCCACTGCTTTGATTTTTATTAGCATGGGTACAACTTCCTCCCTAATCTCTCTAATTATTAATTTCTAAACTATCCATAACTTCATTAATCACTTAGTGCATTATTTGCAATGAACTTCTGATACGGAAATAACTTCTAAGTCTCCTGCAAGATAGTGCCTGAGAAATTTGAAATTAATTTTCAATATTTGCTAAAATTCAAATTAACTTCAATGTGAAAATTTTCGTATAAAAAATCAGTGAAGCTACAGTATAAGTAGAAAAGTTTAGTGTAATAGACATTTGTCATTTGTGGCCCACCTGTGATCGGAAAGCCCTTCCTGTGCATGGGGAGTGTCCCGCATTCACCCCTCCCTGAGGCAGTGACTGGAAACTTCCTTTCCTGGGCTGCCTGGCAGCTAAGACCGCCAACCCTGGGCTCTTGCAACAGATGTGCCACCCCAAGCGTTCGGCTTGGAGCAGAGCTTCTAAAGAAGCCAGCCTCGTACTGCAGAGGGTAGGCACAGTGTTCTCGAGGCTTTGGGGCAGCGGTGGCAGAGACCTTGTCATCCCATGGTGGCATGTGTTATGGTGGGGTCACTTGTGTGGCAGGGCAGTCTTTGGAGCAGTTTCCATGTGTGATGTGGGAGTTTTCGTGCTTTATATTAAACCTCCAAACGTAACAAGCCTGTTGGAGATTCTGTTTATCTTGTGTCTTTTCTTTTTTTTGATAAATTCTTCTGCTTAAACAAGCCAGAATGAGTTCTCTCATTTGCAAGTAAGAGCGACTGGCCGGAAACAAGTTGGTATCGGGAATTGCAAATGACAAATGCTAAAAAAGATGCAGGAGGTAGGACACGGTTGGAGAAGACCCACTGTCCTGGGTGAGTTGAAAAATTGGTGAGCCTAGTTATTTGGTGGCAAAACATTTTGCCAGACTGACTGACTACTTTAGGGTAGAGACCAGACTGGTGTTAAGGGAGATAATAGGGAGCTGCAGAGTGTTGGCATGTGCTGGTCTCTTCCTAGGCAACTGTGGGGTTGGTGCCAGACTGCGTGGGTTCAAACCCCACTTCTGCTTACTCACCGTGTGACCAGCTTCCTCAGCTGAAAATGGAAATGATAATCATACCTACTTAGGCCTGTGAGGAGGATTAAGTGAATCATACCTGGAAAGCAGTGTCACAGAAGTGTTGAATGAATGCAAGCTGCGAAGTCCTGCAGAAGAGCGATACAGCCAGACTAAAGGAAACTGGGTGGAAACCAGAGTGGAGAAGAAAATAGAGCCTCGCTAGGAGAAGTTTTCTCTGCTTGCAACCTGCAGTCTGAGTTGATGGAAAGTTCCAAGAGTCCTGGTTTGGGCAAACCTAGCGAAATGGAAACTCCACCAAGTGGCCTGCAGCAGCCTCAGCAGGAGTTTACACTGAAGACTGGCCTTGCCAAAAGGGCATTAAATGTGGGCTTTTCCCACTTCAAGTGATGGCTGTGAATTGCCCCGAGACAGTAGCAGGTAAACTAAGGGAGAAGGTACTGGACAGAGTCCCGGATACCGGCTGCTCCCAGATCAAAAGCTCAGTGTAAAGAGCATGTAGGCGAGATCTCTGTTTGCTCGAGCCTGGGGTGTATAGAGAGTCCTTATCCGTCGCTGCCTTTGTAGGGCAAGGCCTGTGTTCAGGGCAGATAACCTGGCTTTCCAGCTGGAGGAGGGCACCACGTAGAGCCACATTTAGACCTGATGGAGAAAACTGCATTTCACCTGGAGATTTCAGACTGCAATCAGTAACTGGAAGAGATGGAGGCATCCTCCTTTGGTCGGGGTGAGTGCTTTCCAAGTGTGTGTATGCAAAGGGCAGTGTGTATTCTGCGGGGAGCCAAAGAGGTTGACTGTGGTAGACACTGCATATCCCCGCACCTACTCCCAAACCTCCTTGCTATCTTAGGCCTCTATTTTAAAGGCTGGAGAAATTCCTACCTGGATCTAGGGGCGACCATGTGACATTTCTGCCCAGTGATCTGTAAGTGGCAGGTAGTTTACTTTTAGGTAGTTTTAGAAATGCTTTTTACTTTCCCAAGTAAGCCAGGACAGCCATTTAGTGAACTTCAGTGATGGGCCATTGTGCCGTGGATGGCGGGAGGCAAGGCCGTCGTGTCCACGGGGTGCTGCAGCAGCCCTGGCACAGCCCTCCTGGGTGGGGAAACAGTGTGAGCCCCTGTTGGCTGGTTTCGCTTTTGCTTGAAGGCGAATTCCTCTCTTGCTGATAGAATCTGTCTGCTTCCCGAAATATATGTGTGTAATATATTCAGAAGCTGGGGGGAAATCTTTCTGCCAATAATTAAAAATCACCTATTAGTATAAGCCTTGCAGACTCTTTTCTCATAGTTTCCTTTCCCTGAAGTAGTCCCTACATAAAGTGAAAGAGAATTCAGTGTTTGTTTTGTCTCAACAAGCATTTCTTTGTTAATTGCTATGAATAGGTATTGTTTTTAGAACTGGGAATGAAAAAATGCGTAAGGTAGTAATCCTTGCTTTCAAAGAGTTCATAGTTTATTTCAGAGAGAGAGACAAAAGCAAGAACAGTGCAAGGTGAAAGGTGCTAACATAAGATGTCACTTGACTGAGTTCTTTGGGGTTAATGAGATTTTTTATCTCTAGTTCCAGCATCTAGCACGTATCTGGTACACAATAAATTGGCAGCAAGTTTGCTGACTGTATGAAAGTACCGAGAGACCATAGATGACTGAGCACATCTGTTAGGAGTGGTGAAGTCAGACGGCAATAAAGATGAGGTCATCTGTGCTAGGTCCTGATGGGGGAGTGGGGATGCCAGCTGGAAAGGCAAGAGGAGGGCTTTCCAGAGAGCTGCGAGCGGAGGACAAAGGAGTGATGGCAGCACCCTGTCTGTCTCGCTACCTTGAGGCCTTCTGACCTTGGGCTAGTTCTGGTGATTCAATCCCCAGCTCTAGAGTTCTTCCTCTCCCAGATTTTTTTAAATCAACTTTTTATTTTGGATTTACAGAATTATTGTGACAATAGTACAGAGTCCCCTCATACACTCCAGTTTCCCCTATTACTAATGTGTTAAATATGGTACACTTGTCACAGTTAACCAGTACTGGCACATTATTATATACTTTATAGAATGTATATATGAATGATAATTATTACTCATATGTATTATGTACTTTATTCAGATTTCTCTTTTTTTACCTAAAGTCCTCTTTTTGTTTTAGACTCCCATTCAGGTTACTACATTACAGTTAGTCTTATCTTAGGCTCCTCTTGGTTGTCACAGTTTCTGAGAGTTTCTGTTTTTGATGACCTTGACAGTTTTGAGTACTGGTCAAGTATTTTGTAAAATGTCCCTCAGTTGGGATTTGTCAGATGTTTTCTCATGGTTAGACAGGGGTAACGTTTTCTGAGGGGAAGACCAGAGAGGCGATGTGCCGTTCTCATCACATCACATCATGGGTTCATCAACACTTTGAACATGACTTATCAGTACTGATGTTGACCTTGATCCCCTGACTAAAGTGTCTGCCAGGTTTCTCCACTGTGCAGTCAACTCTTTTTTTCTCCCTTCCTGTGCTCTACTCTGCAAGAAAGTCACTGAGCACAGTCCACACTTAAGGAATCCCATTTCCTAGGGTGGAGTAGCTACATAAATTATTTGGAATTCCCCATGGAAGACTTGTCTGTTCTTCCCCCATTTGTTTGTTTATTCCACCATTTATATGAGTGTGAACTTATGGATATTTATCTTACTCTTTGGGTTATAATCCATTATCACTTTGTCGCTCACATTCATTGTTCGCTTCCAGGATGTGCAGGTAGCACTTTCAGAATTGTTAGTCCATACCTTTGTGGGAAACAGCTTTCCCACTAGAGCACAGTGCTCATGACAGTGTATCGTGCCTTTGGTCTCAACAGACGGCACTCGTTTCCAGAGTCACTCAGTTCAACACTTTATTCCCTCACCCAGCCTTCAGTAAGATTGTTTTATATGTCTGTGATACTTCTGGATTTATTTGTCACATTCTGCATTTTCATCCTGGGATTCCCCCAACCTCCTAAATGAATTTCTTAAAATTTCTGTACGCTAAGTTATGTTTTGGGCTGTAAAGTTTTACAGGTTTTGACAATGCTTTTTGTCTTGTAGTCACCATTAGAGCATCACACAGAATGGTGTCACTGCCCTGAGAACATCCCCTGTGCTGCACCCATTCACCTCAGCCCTCCCTCGGCCTGGCAACTACTGCCCTGTCACTGCCTCCAGAGTGTTGCCTTTCCCAAAGTGTCATAGAATTGGAGTCATTCAGTATGCAGCCTTTTCAGACTGGCTTCCTTCACTTAGCACTGCGCATTTGAGGTCCATCCGTATCTTTTTGTGGCTTGATAGCTCATTTTTTTAAATGTTTTTGTTGCTAGTAAGGTTTTATTTATTTGTTTATTTTGGTGAGGAACATTGGCCCTGAGCTAACGTCTGTTGCTAATCTTCCTCTTTTTGCTTGAGGAAGATTGTCACTGGATAGCTCATTTTTTTATCAGTGACTATTATTCCATTGTCTGGATGCACCACAGTTTTTTATCCATTCTGCTATTGAAGGACATCTTGGTTAATTCTGGTTTTTGGCCATTAGGAATAAAGCTGCTACGAACGTTTGTATGGAGGTCTTCTGTGGATGTGAGTTTGTACATCAGTTGGGTAAATATCTACGAGTGTGATTGCTGGATTATACGGTAAGACTGTTTTGCCTCTCTCGTATTTTCAAATTCTCCCTGTACTGCCGACTTTTCTGAAGCATCCAAACGTTCTCAAAGCTTTCCATTCTTAGGGGGAAAAGTCTAACCCTTGAATTTTTAGCTGACTTTCCTCCTTCCCAGTGCTCCTTTTCACAGCCGGGCTTCTCAATCCCCTACTCTCTACCACCACCTCCTTACTTTTGATCACCCCTTCAATTCAGCCCACACTTCAAGGACGGGGATTGTAATTGATCACAAATTAGACCTCTGCTTCCACCAGGCTTCCTCAAATGCCCTGTTACAGATCACTGCGGCCCACATCTACTGGGATCTCTTCAGTTCTCTTTCCTGACCTTTTACGGCATGTGATGCTGTTAACTCCTCCCTTTTGAGGCCTGTGACCACTCTTCCTGTTGGTGTTTCCTTTGTGCTCGCTCTTCATGCTCTTCCTAGAGCAGATCGCGTCTGCTCTGCTGACCTTCAGCTTTTGCCGTGACTAACCCGTATCTTTAGCTCAGCCAGTCCTCATGACAAAACTTCAGATCTTATCTAGCTGCCTACTAGATGTCCCTTCCCACTTAAAACGTGTTCCAAACTTCACTCACTTTGCCCCGCTCAAAACTCCTGCTAAGTTCTCTAATTCGGGAAATTCATCACCTAGGTCAGAAACCTGGGAGTTACCCTAGATTCCTCCCTTTCCCTTGGATCCCAACCCAGTCTGTTGATTCTCTTTCTTTTTTTTTTTAAAGATTTTATTTTTTCCTTTTTCTCCCCAAAGCCCCCCGGTACATAGTTGTGTATTCTTCGTTGTGGGTTTCTCTAGTTGTGGCATGTGGGACGCTGTCTCAGCGTGGTCTGACGAGCAGTGCCATGTCCGCGCCCAGGATTCGAACCGACGAAACACTGGACCGCCTGCAGCGGAGCGCGCGAACTTAACCACTTGGCCACGGGGCCAGCCCCTGTTGATTCTCTTTCTTTCCCATCTTTCACATCAACCCAGAGGAGTTACTTCATTTCACACCCTCATCATCTCTTGCCTAGAATAGACGGTGGTCTCCAACTCGTTTCCCTGCTCTAATCTTGCACTCCCAATCTGCCAAAGTAACACCTCAGCTATTCAAGTTATTTAAAAGTTGTAGAAAGGAATCAGTTGTTCCCCACAGCCAAGTCTAGACTCCGTAAGCTAGTGAGCTGGGGCGTTCTCCCCACCCTCGTGCTTATTCTCCCACCGCACCTTCCTTTATGTTCCAGCAAGTAGAAACATTGGCAGGTTTTTTTGCTCATGTTCTTCCCTCTGCCTGAAGAATCGGCCTTTTCTCCCTATTCTTCCAACATTTATCTTGCAGCCAGTTAATTGCTATTCATGCAAGGTTTATTTGCACCACAAGCCTTATAATGGAAAACAGCAGTCCTCTGCCCTGTATCTCCCCAGCGGTAATTACTTTTCACAGTTTTAGCTGGGTTGCTTCTGGGCTCTGCCTCTGTATTTCTAAATACAGCCTCATGAGGCTAATTTCCCCTCCCTCCCCTGCTCCCATTCTTCGTCCTTCTCTTCCTAAGCAAGTGTCTAAGAATAGCGTGACCTCAGTCTCCACCTCCTTAATTTCCACTCACACCTCAACCCACTACAACTCAAGGAGTAAATCCAGAAAAAGATGACATTGACTCAGGGCAGTAGGGGACCCAACACAGGAGAGAGGGAAAAGAAATTCCCAAGATGATGGCGAAGGGAAGTCTTGATCCAGTAGCTGTGGGGAAGGCCTAGAGAACTCGGTGTCATGGGAGCCGGAAGATGAGGGCTCTCAGCAGGACGCCTCCAAGGGGGAGATGGAATCTATTTGTTACATATGCTGACTCAATTCCCGGAAAAACTTGACTCAATGAATTCCAAGAAAAGTTGTAAATAGTAATGAAAATGAACTGTGGTATGCAGCTGGCTCAGCTGAGAATAAAATACAAAATCTCATAATGATATAATACTGATTGCTAATTTTTTTAATATTGCTTTATCACTAATGTGAAAGTATGAATAGAGAGGGGTAGGAAGGGATGTTTGAAGGCTAAACTCTTCCATTTTCTAGGAAATCAGTGGATTACTAAAACTCTGTCTCTCCCAGGTTCCTCTGGGATCCTCCCAGTGCTGGATCCTCTACCTTCATTTTCTTGATTTCCTCTCTGTTTTTGGTGGACCTTATCCCCTAGTAGTTTCTTGAGAAAAAAAGACATGGGGCATACATTTTTTTGAGGCTTTGCATCTGAAAATATCTTAATTCTGTCATCATACTTAATTGATTTGACCAAATATGGAGTTCTTGGTTAAAACCCATTTTCCCTCAGCATTTTGAAGGCATTGCTACATTGTCTTCCTATATTGCTGTTGAGAAAATCAGTATCATCCTTTATGATGTGTTTTTCTTCTCTCTGGAAGGTTTTGGAGCCACTGTTCTCAAGTGTCATGATTATGTGTCTTGGTGTGCATCTCTTCACTCATTATGCTGGGCATTTGGGATGGACTCTGTCACTCTGAAAATTCACATACTTTGAATTCATATCCTGGAAATTTTTAATGTAATATTTCTTTGATAATTTCCTTCCCTTCCTTCATTGTATCTTTCTTCATTGTAACTCTTTCTGGAGCTTTCATTAGTCAGTTTGCTTCTGGATTGGTCTTTCTTTTCTCTCTTATTTGCTGACCTCTGACCTAAGACAATAAGATACAGAAGTGGTTGAGTCCTGGATCGGAGCCTCAAGAGTCTAGATGTATCTAAATTATGGAGCTTCCTGTGTTGCTTTATTTTGTAAAGTGACACATTCTAAATATTTTCAGACCTTTTGAAGGACAATGAATTTAATAATGATATTTTATATAAATGCACATACATTGACAGTATGAGACAATTACCAATTTCCTTCTAGAAGCACATCCTCTTATTCAGTACTCAGTTATTAAGATAACAGATATTATTTGCTAAATGAAGAGCAGCACACAGACCCTATTCTGTGAAATGCTGTTTAGTAAATTTCCTTTGTTTTGGTTATCAGCTAGACATTCACAAAATAGATTTAATTTTTAAAAAGTAACCTAAAACTTTTTTAAAAAGTGTGAAAAGGGAAAGATTAAGGAAATATTTTACATGAGAATGCCTTGGGTTCATACAACTATGATAACAGAGAAAGACAGTGTTGTTACATTACTGTCTCTTTAAAAGTTATGTGGTCTGCAGATATTTTCAAACACATTTCAGGATACCAGTGACTTCCAGATTTGGTAACAGCTGGGTCTTTTTCTTTAGCAACCACCTTTTTTCCCTCTTCTGCCCTCTGACATGATATTAAAAATACCTTTTTTTAAATCTCTTCTATTATCCTCTTCTGGCTGTGCTTTTCTCCCACCGCAGAAGTGTCCCGTCTAAGCAGGGAACACATGAAGTTGTCAAGGTTTCTGGTAAGCTGAGGCACTGTCCCCGTGGACGGGTGTGTGACAGAGCCTGTGGGGTGGGTCTGCGGCTTGCTGCAACCAGAGCTTCTGTGAGGGCAGGATATGGGTCTACGGAATGGAGTTGCTAAGGGAATTGTATTACTGATTTATCTTGGAAAAACAGAATGAACAAATGGAATCAAAATCTGATAATGCGGCAAAAAAACCTTAACCCAGCAAAGACACACTTTGCAGTTACGTGCAGTACTGTTCTTAGAGTCATAGTCAAGAGCTAAGAAACAAAATCACGCTGATGCTGCAGTCCTTCCGATGTAAACCTATGGCAAGTCAATGAACCATTGTCTAGGGTGAGTGTTTTATGAGGGACCAACCGTATTGAGTAATTCTGAACTGAATTTTGCATAATTATCACCAAAATTTGGGTTAAAAAGTAAGTTCAGGGCTATTATTCTTATTTTCAGTTTTTTTCTCAAAATAATATATGCACAGAATTATAAAATCAAGTAAGTGCTCAAGGCTCGTAGCAAATAAGAAGAGCCCTCTGCCTCACTGGTCCTGTTCCCCAAAGGAAAACACATTCAACTCTTGTAACTGTTTATGGCATTTATTTCCCTATTTCTAACTCATTTGCTCATAATACTACTTCTTGATTTGTTATTTTTAGACATTTTTCTAATGATTTTCTGTTATGGGGAAGGAGGATTTAGCTCTCTTGAGCCAATTCTCATGTCTCATTTCTCCTCCCCAATTCTTCTAATATACTTACATCAAAATTTTGTGTTAAAGCAAGAGTCACTCCCTACTACCTAATACATAAGTATGATTCACTTATGATCCGTATATTACGATTATTTTCTTATATAACTTTTGGGTTTTCCTAGAGTTAGTAATAATTGCTCAGTTTTAAATAATTGTTTAGTGTTAAGTACTTATTTTAAGTTCTGTCCTAATTGTTCCGGTGGCTTTTATCTGCCATTCGATACTGTTTCCCCAGGTCAGCCATATCAATTAATCTATCAGTTTTGTATTTTTTCGGAGAACCCTCCTCCAGAGTCCTCTGACCTTCTGCCCGGATCCGGACTGGTCAGTTCCTGGGTCTGCTGCCCATTGCCATCTTGAGACTTCCCTTGGTGTGTTATGGTGCTGGGTCCCTTATTTTTAGTTTCTTATCTTCCATGTTCTTGCTTTAATAGATACATCCCCTCAGATACTTCATGAGAATTTTGTTACTTTTTGTATTTTGGAAAATGTTTTTATTCTACCTCTGCCTTCGATTTTTATTTATATATGTGGCTGGGTTTTAAACTGTATTCCATTAGACTTCTGAGCTGTTACTCCATTTTATTTTAGTTCCTATGGTTGATGTTGCGAAGCCTAGTGCTGTTCTGATTTTTCTTTAAATGTGATGTGTGTTTTTCTCTCTGGAAACTTTTAGCATCTTTTCTTTATTTCCAATGTTCAGAAATGTCACGAGGTGGTTGGCCCTTTCAATCTAGACTTGTGTCTTTAAGGTCTGGGAAATTAATCGTGTATTATGTGTTCTTACGTACCATCATTTAGTGTTCTGTTCTCTTTTTCTGAAACTCCAATTACTGGATCTTAAACTCTTGTTGAAATGTTATTTGATATGATCTTCCTTTCTTTCTCTCTCTCTCTCTCTCTAAATATACAACTATGTACTGGGGGGCTTTGGGGAGAAGAAGAAAAAAAAAAAGATTGGCAACAGATGTTAGCTCAGGTGCCAATCTTAAAAAGAAAAAAGAGAGAGATTTCTAAGTTTTAGCTGGACACAAAGCTGTCCGAAACAAGGCTATATTCCCCAGCTAGTGTTCTGGGAGGTGAGCTGGGGTTCCCCCTGTTTAATTCCGAAACCTTTTTGAACTCTCTGATTTCAGCCTGAGGCCTAGACCTGAGCCCGTGTTAAGTCGGTGTCCTCAAGCCCAGAGCTGCCCTGATTGTCCTTCACATGCCCGACGAAGCCCAGATCACACGCCTGTGTGTTGGCCATCCTCACCTCCCACCGTCCACCCGCCATGCCTGCGCTGGGGCAGCCCCACTGAACTCTAGGTGTGGACTCCGCACCCATTACACCCTCTGTCAAGCTATAGCATAGCACTTGTCACACTGTGGAGTCGTGTGGCTGCAAGTCTGTACCCCACCAGACCGTAAAAGTCACAAGTGCACCAAGTGTCTATAGTGCCAATATGTCCAGGATCAGCTGATACACAGTAGTCTCTTTAATATCTGTTTAATGCATGAATGACAACTTCTTTGAGCTCTGAACATTTTTGGTGTGATTTTTGGACAAATAATTATCCTTGACTTTTTTTTTTTAGCAGCAAGTTAAGGCTTGTGATGTTTTAAGGGAATTAATATGTATCAATGAACTCAAAGGAAATATTCGATTTTTTTTTTTTTAATTTTTGCAGGCTTTCTTCTAACCTCTGCCATCAGTAAAAAAGGGTTTTTCTATCTAGGGGGACCCCTGAAGTGTGGCAGTGATTCACCTGAGGCATCGATGTAATTGAAAATTGGGAGACCAGTGGGATCATACAGTATTGGAAAAGGAGAAACTTGACACGCACGTTCTCGTTGGTCCATTGTTGCCACAACAGGAAGGCACTGATGGATTAGGCTGTCAGCAAAGGCTGTGTCTGCTCGTCAGGTTAGCACTTGGCCTTTACATCATGAGAAGCAGCCAAGAGCAAAGATCTTGCTCGTTGCACTGAAAGCACCTCTTACCTAGTTAACCCGACACGGCAATTATCCGACTCGAACTCTGGCTATTGTTGGTCTCTTTTTGGAATTAACGCAGTTATCTATCTGAAATTTGGGAGTGTAGAAGGCCCGTTACCGTAGCTCCTTTAGACGGGTCTAAAACAGACTCTCCACTCAGCACTTTGAGATCTGTTTCTGGGATGGCCCGAAGTTTCCTTGCCCAGAATGGACGGGTCGGGGGGTAGGCAGAGAGGGAAGGAGGGTGAAGAGGGAAGACGGAACAAGAATGAAAGAGAACCTATGTAATAGAAAGGAAGCTCTGAGTAATCTTATTAATTAGTCCATTTTCCTGCTCTGCCCTCCTTACCTCATGCAATTTTTAATCAAATTGTGAAGAAAGGTGGTCACAGAGGACTCTGCTGAATCTCACTAGGAGGTGCAGAAAGGAAGGTTCTGGGCAGAGTTAGAGTGGAGCTGGTAATAAAACCGTCTTTACCTCCTATAAATCAGTGGAACTCATCAGCCGCTTTCCAGTAAAATTCCCAGTTCCCGAGTGAAGGGTGACGTTAGAGTCGAATGGAAACAGCAGCGGCGCGTTGTGCATGATTAGTACATAAGGGTTAGGTGAGGATTAGTACATAAGGGTTAGGTGAGGCCTCGCATAACAAAGAAGACAAACTCTAACAGGAGCCATAGCAATTTCTTGGGGCTGCCATAGCAAATTACCGCAAACGGGGGGGGGGGGGGGGGGGGGGGGGGCTTAAAGCAACAGAAACTTATTCTCTCACAGCTCCGGAAGCTATAAGCTGACATCGAGTGTCGCTAGTGCGGTTCTGAAGGCTCTAGGGGAGGAGCCTTCCCTACCTCTTCCAGCTCCTGCTGGTTGCTGGCCGTCCTTGGCATTGTCTGGCTTACAGACGTGTCCAGTTGTCACCACATGGGTTCTCTCTTGGTGTCTCTTTTCTTAGAAGGACACCAGTCTTATGGGATTTAGGAACCGCCCTACTCCAGTATGACCTCACCTTGACCAATTACATCTGTAAAGACACTATTTCCAAATAAGGTCATATTCTGAGGTTCCAGAAAGGACATAAATTTGGGGAGACACTATTCAACCCAGTACAGTAGCTTAAATAAGAGAGCATTTTCGTCTCTCCCAGACAAGTTCCAAAATAAGCAGTTCAGAGGTGGCCAGTGAAGGTATCCAGAAGCCAGATTGCTCTGCCGTCCTTAGCCTGTGCTTTGCACTTCATGGTCTGTGAAAGGACGCTTAAGTCCCACCCATCACATCTGCCTTCCACCTGCAAGAAGGAGAAAGAGGGATGCAAGAAGAGTTTATGAGGTGCACGCCAGTTGCTCCTTAATACTTCAATACAGTATTTCTACTCACATTGCATTGGACAGAACTTTGTCAGATGTGTAGCTAGCTGCAAAGGAGCCTGGGGATGTAGGCTTTTTTCAGACAGCTGTATGTCCCACCCACACTTGGAAGCCTTCTTTGTAAGGCAGAGAGGTGAATGTATATTAGGGATGCAACCAGAAACCATCCACAGTCCGGGTGGCTTGCCTTATTTCCTCACAAGATGTATAGAAAGTAGTTTCTTTTTTTTTTTTTAAAGATTAGCATCTGAGCTAACAACTGTTGCCAATCTTATTTATTTATTTATTTTTTCCTGTTTTATCTCCCCAAATCCCCCTGGTACATAGTTGTATATCTTAGTTGCAGGTCCTTCTAGTTGTGGCACGTGGGACGCCACCTCAACGTGGCCTGACCAGCGGTGCCATGTTGGCATCCAGGATCCGAACCTGCGAAATCCTGGGCCACTGTAACGGAGTGCGTGAACTTAACCACTTGGCCATGGGGCCGGCCCCTAGAAAGTAGTTTCTTAAATGAATTTCCAAAAATGACTGTTAAATAACTTTCTAAATGTCTTGACAGTATTTTCTCTTAAAAAGTGATCTATATTTGTAGGAATCAGAGATGACTGAAGAACTCCTGAACTGACTTTTTAGGTGAAATTCAGAGCTGCTGCATTACTTTACAAGCTCAAGGGAAGTTATGATGCTTAACGTGTACTCTTTTGCAAGCACAACCATACAGCTAAGTCCCAGCCTCCCACAGCCTGCCCAAGACTCCCTCGGTTCCTAGCCGTCGATGCCCCTCGCCTCCCTGCACGCGGGTGTCACAGGGTCTCCTCAGTGCCAGTCTTCTTCCAAATTCATTCTCCTTCATGCCCCTTGTTATTCCGTGTTTATTAAGCATCCAAAGATCTGAAAAGAGTTAGGGTTTCTGCCACAATCTAAGAAATCTGGACCTTATCAGAGAAAACAAAAGGGAAGACCTTTTTTGGTGAAGACAGCATATTCCCTAAAAATAAAACCTTTAGCCCTGTAGGAAGTCTCACGGAGAAGGGACAAGGACGGAGGAGGAGAATGTTCTCACCTCCCGTCGCCTCGCACCTGCCTTGGTCCAGTGAGTCATCCTCTTCGCTTTGACTCACGGTCTCTGACTCACTTTGCTTATTTCTCTGCCCGCTGGGGGAGCCTCCCAGCTACAAAGACCGTCTTCCTCTCTTAGGTTCTTCTTCACCTTTCTGTCTTCTCTTTAGCCTTAACAGCACGAACGGTTGTCTCTGCCCCGCCAATTACCGTATTTCAGCATGCCTTGTCAAGGAGGCTCTCGTCACTTCTCAGCTCAAGTCCGGACCCTGGGGGGTGGGCAAGGGAGGGATGAGAACGGAGACCAGTAGACGGAAACAGTGCAAAAGGCAGGTGGGGCGCCTGCGATTGTGGCGTTCCTTGGCCTGAAGGGATGCGTTCTTCCTTGTCTTCTCACCTGCTCCTTACCTTGGAGGGTGATTCACTCTGAACAGCAGGGCGTGGTGTAGGATGGCCTTTGCCTGAGAGCTTCTAACCAAAGAATCCTTCCTTCTTGAGAAAATAAGAACTAGCAATTTTCAGTTCAGTAAAGACTCCCAGCTTCTCCATAGACTTCATCCTGGACAATTGCTTATAAGACTCATGAATGCATTCAGCTCAGCAACACGGGCGGTGTATAATTTCCACATTTTGCTACCTTGAACCAATTGTATTATTTTTATAACAATGACTGTGCAGAAATGAAGGCAACTCTTTTTCCTCCAAGCGATTAGACAAATGCTTATTTTCTGACAAAAATAAATCTTCCCCTCACATGTCCTTTTAGGTTTCCCACCGATCACCCACACAAGCCCTCATTCTGAACAGCTAGTCCCTTCCTACTAATGACAAACCGTTTGGGCAGAAGTCGTTTCCAAAGACTGAAATAACGTTTCCAGCTGGGTGGTGTCATCATATCCACTGTGCTATGTGATTGCCCATAGCAAGCTTATTTGTGTTGAAACATTTCATCTTCCCGGGTCTCAAAGGGGAAGAGGCTGGAGTAAGATGCTGAACTTCTTTTCGAAACAGGTCAATTTGGAAATATTGGGGGAGGGGGAAATGGTAAAATAATTGGCTTTTTCTGCCATCTCTCTGCTTATCTATAAAATCACTTCAGCTAAATTATGTGATTGTTGACTAGAGTAGATGGAAAAAAACATTCAGGCAAATTATATATTTCTATGCCAGTTAGCCATTGAAACAGTATTTATTAAATGCTTACCATTCTGTTAGGCACTATGATAAATTAACAATATATATCTATCAGATGCCCCAAAGCATGTTGAAAATACGGGCACAAGTACGATTCTAAAGTATGTAAACAATAATGCTGGTAAACAGGTGAAGGTAGAAATGGCCTGAAAAACACACTCAGAGCTTAGAGAAAAGATTTTTTTTTCTTTTTCTGGCTCTTAGAGGCACATCAAAACAAAAACTTCCAAAGCACGAACAGTTTCCTGAAGCCACTGAACACTCACATCCACATGGAAACTTCCATGCTTAACTGGCTCATACGGTTTTCCTTCAAAGGCAGGTAGACTCATGCTCCCTAGCCAGAGCTGGACGAAGCTTCCAGATCCAAGTCCTCATCAGTTTTCGGTTCTCAGGCCAGCCAGCCGGAGACAGGCCACTAAGCACCCTCGGCCAGACGGTAATGCTGAGCCGTTGCACTCATCTACAAGACAGCATGTCGATTGTGAACTTCAAATCCACCTTGGGAATCTGAAAGAGTTCATCTAGTAAAATGTTTTAAAATCCTTAGTCCAAGATTGGTGCTTGTCTAAAACATTTGCTCTGAGTGAGTTTTAAGGCCTGGGATACGAAGAACCTCAAATATCCCACAGAGAAGGCTTCTCCCAACCACACTGGGTCTTGTTGAGCAGGACGGGAAGGCCTTCAAACGCCCCCCACTCCGTACGGGAGCCCTGCGGTAACACGCCATGCCTCCCCCTTCCTTTCCCACCTGCCCCTGTTACAAGAAACACATTTTCTGCTTCCCAGCACCCAGCTTATAATTCTGCCTAATGAGATGCGAGTAGAAATATCAGGGGTCTTTCAGGGCAAGCTTTTGCTCTCCTGGTAAGAGGGAAAGATGAGTTGGTGCTGGTCTTTGTCGCAGTTCAACCTTGAACGATGTGGACCTGATGCCTGGAGATGCAGCAGGGGTCAGACTGTGGGCCAGAAGCCCACTTGCTACGGTTGATGGAACAGACCCTCAAGATTCATCGCACCAGCCCTGGGCTGTTTACCTCTGGACTTCTTACGTCCTTTCTTGTTTAAGTCACAATAGACTAGGGTTTCTATTGCTTATGGGCAGAAGCATCCCGAAGCGACACAGAATTTGGCATCTGAAAATGAGTGGTTTCCAGGATTATTTTTTTACATTTTAATATAGAGCTTAGGAAGTATTGTTTATTTAACTGCATCTTAACAAATGTTTACTGAGCATTTTCTGCACTTCAGGCATGGTGCAAGATGGGTGACACAAAGAGGGACAAGACATTGGGAGTCCAAGCCATGCAGAAATAGGAATCCATATTCAGCAGCAAAGGTAGCTTTGTGGTCGATTGACTCACTCATTTAAAAAATGACTATGATGCATCTACAGTGAGCCAGGCTTTTGGAGCTGAAGATAGAAAGATGAGTGGCACTGCTCTAAACTTTTAGCACAACCTTCCAATCATCCATCCTTCATCCATCCAATGTGAGGGCGTTTGCTGCGGACCTGCTGTATACCAGGCTCAGGATTACAAAGTCACTCCGATTTTGAATCGTCTCATAGGTGCCAGAAGTTGGATTCAGGGAAGAATAAAATGAGGGGTGGGGGGACCCGGCCTGAGGTGCTTCAGTGGGTCCACCAGCATGAATGGTTGGGGCTCTCTCCCTTTGGGGTGACCAGGCGCTCCGGTGTAATTTGGGCTACAATTTGAGAAGAGGGCTTTTCTCCCTCTTCTTAGTTTCGTGCCTGGCCAAGCAATTTCTGCTGGCCAGCCGTCCCTCTGCCTGCAGCCCTATTTCCTTTAGGGTGCTTGCTGTGTAGATAGCCACACCTCCATGCTCTGCCCACTGCCCTATCCCCACTCCTTTGCTCCCCGACCTGCCTTTCCGCCCCTAATTCTGAGAACTATAATGTCAGGCCTGGGGAAGCCTCCTTCAAGGGCTTTCAGTCTCTTTAGAGTTGAGGTACCTGAGGCCCAGAGAGAGGAAGCGGCTTGTTCAAGGCCAGCAAGTCAGTTGGTGACAGGAGTCGGCACCAGAATCTAGGTCTCCCGATTCCTGTCCCTTCTGATAAAATTTCACTGGCTCT